AGTGGTATCGACCAAGTGGTTGTGAATAAACTCATCATAGATACCAGGATTGAAATTTTGTATTTGCGCCAGACGTAAACACTGGGAATAACAACGAACACCTAAAATTAATTTACGACAGAACACAAATACAGCACAATAGAATAATGAACTGTGCGTCACACGAATGATCAATGCCACAAAAAGTGACGTCATAGGTATTTTTAAAAAAATAGAATATAAAATTGGAATTAAGTTTGTGATGGTGCTATTTGATGTATTTTCTAACCATTACAAGAATATAAATATAGAATTGTGTTAGTTATGGTGTAATTATTTGTATTTTATAACCATGTCGGTTTTTCTTCTAAATCAAACTGTGTAAAAACAAATAAATCCTGTGCATATAGTTGCTTTAAACTAAAAATTATATAAATGAACTATGTAATTAATATTTTTACTTTTACATACATATAGAAAATAAAAATAGAATTAAAACCACAAACAATAAGACAAAACAACATCCAACCAGAATTACAAATGAAACATCCTAACTAAATACATGAATGTTGGATGTACAAATACCGAGACACGTCTAATAGCAATGCGAATTTACACTCAGCAAAACAGTCATATTCGGGAATACGTCACGTTCGGTACTTAGAAGACCAGACGACGTAGATGGTAAACCACAATCTAAGACGTGGTAAAACAATTGTTTGAACTATCGTAAACACTTCAAACAAATCATTTTTTTATTAACTATAAAAAATTAAAAATGTTCTCTTTCGAAACTTTGTCCTCCCTCAGATGATTCCTGATGACCTTTGCTATTGCAACATTTGAGTTCAACAGGATGTTTTCTACGTTTTTTCCGGATTGAACTAAATAGCAATAAGGTATACAATGATTACAGTGAATATTCTTCAGGTATCATGTGAGCCATTATCATATAACTTAGATCTGCTTACCCTTCCAGAGAGCTTGAGTTCACCCCCAGTTTTGGTTGTCCAGTCTTTCATTTTCTATGTCGTGTTTTGTTTACTTGGTTTTGTCGTTTTTGTTCTCGTTATATTACCATGGCATTGTCAGTTCGTTTCCGACTTATGACTTTGATTATCTCTTTGATATCTTTCGCCTCTCATTAACAAGACAAATGTTCACGGAATGGATGTCTAATGCTTACTAGCTCTATTCTTTGTAATAAAAACAACTATTACGCCCACAAGACAGGAAATCTTGATTGAAGTTAGACTTGGAAATTACGTTGATTTGTACATAAAGTATTTGCACAGTCGAACAAAAATATCGATGCCATAGATATAAAACAAATGGTTGAAATCGATCACCTGAAGTCAGCTATTCGACCTGAAGGATGATTCCGACAGAAATATAAAAGAAAGCCTAGCATTAAAGCAGATATAATGCCTATCAATCTCTTGTACCAAAAAAAATCCCGCAAGTCAGAGCTCAATTTCTGAACTTCGTTGTATTATGTCTCTGGTGTAATGTCTTGAATTTGCTGTCATCAGATGTTAATCTTTTACCTTTAACCTTTAACTTTTAATTTTTTATATAGTTTTTGATTGAAATGAAGCTCACTAATGCATCTCTTGTTATTATCTTAGAAACTAGACTTCTCTTAATAATTAATATAAATACGAAGAAAATCGCACAGCTTACCATGCTTTCATTGAATCGAACGAAGCTAATAACCTTTAATATTGTAAAGAAAAACAACGAACTTGGATGCAACTATAATACTGAAATATTAAAAATGTCCGATCAGTGGTCTCTTCGTGTTGTCATACACACATCCTGGACGACAATGGAGCTAGTTGTAAGTATACTGTACATTCAAAGTCGTTTGATGATGGATCTGAGGGTAACGACTAACGAGGTCATTGAAATATATTAGAATTAGGACATCAACAAATTCCATCCGTAGAGCGTTAGTTCCATTTGGAGTGATGACGACTACATTTTTCTGGTAGGAAAATGTCGCATTGAAAAATAATAAAGTGCGCGTGTCTTTTAAGCTTTATATTGAGATTACTTTAACAGCAGTCTCAGCATTATAATACCATTGACATATGATATCTCTGATAATACCATCTACCATCTATTTCTCTTTGACTAAGATATCACATTGGTATTGGATAATGACAATGCTATCTAAGTCTACTAGTTCAATGTATCATCAAATCGTATGCTGTTTCCATCTTTATGAGTCTTAGATGTTAGGGTATTCTTCACACCTTATTACAAATTTCATTTTTATTGGGATTTATCATGTTACATGAGGTTGAATGTTCCTTTGGTATCCTTCGCCTCTCTTTTAATAACAATTCTTATATCAAAATGTAGAATACTGAGCACAAAGGCAAAGCTATGTTTGTTTCTATCATTTGTCGAGATACAGATTTGAATTTAATACCTATTAATTTGGACGAATCTATGTATATCAATACCAGAAATTATTACTCCCATTCGCCAAAATGCACAAAGAATACATCTAAACAGAGACTAATATATGCCTCTGATTCAAATAAGGATCATATAACACGTTAACTTTTTCTTAGTATACAAATTGTAATGTTTTGACATCATTAAAAATAAGCAACTACATCTTTAAATGAAAAATCTGTTAGAATGGTCAAAGAATGAATTATTTTTCATTTCATGTTATGAATAAAACTGTGTAGAAATAAGGTTTTTATCTGGGTTGCTGCATTAAGTTATGTGATATTGTAATGCAGAGACAAATAAGTATAAACTGTTATCACAGAGATATGTCTCGCCTTTTTGTAATTTTGATAATGCAAATGTTGAAATTAAAATAGCAATACTTTAACATGTAAGTTATGCAAATATTCAAAGTCGATGAACCATGACTGAAGGTACATGGCTAAACAATCTCCATAGAATGAGATGTGCCAATGCTAATACAACTGCATACCAAATACAATTGACTTACTGTGGATTCATTTATTTCCGTGGGTAATAATTTTCGTGGATTGAGGAAAACTTGCATTTTCGTGGATATTTGATTTCGTGGTTTTATCAATCTCTGCATATAAAGCCTATGAAAAATTTGTAATTCGTTGAACATTTGAATTCGTGGTTTACTTGTACCAACGAAACCCACGAAAATTGGTACCCAACGAATAATAATCAATCATGATCAGGGGTGGGGCTATATAATCTCCATGGAAACGATACTTGCAAATGCCAATAAATTTGCATACCAAATATCATTGACTTAACATAAGCAGTTCATCTTGACCTGATCTAATCACAAACTAATACATGTAAAGTAAGCAAAAGTTTCAAAGTAAATAGACCATGACTGAGGGGGCGGGGCAAAATATTCTCCATGGAAATGAGATGTGCTAATGCTTATACAACTGAACACCAATTAACATTGGCCTACCACTAATGGTTCCCCTTGAACTGACCTAATCACAAACTAATACATGTTAACTTAGCAAAATTTTCAAAGTCTATAGACCATGACTAAGGGGGCGGAGCCAAATAATCTGCAAGGAAATGAGATATGCCAATGCTTATACAACTGCATACCAAATATCATTGACCTACCACTAGTGGTTCCCCATAAATTGACCTAATCACAAACTAATACATGTAAACTATGAAAAGTTTCAAAGTCAATAGACCTTGACTGAGTGGGCGGGGCCAAATAATCTCCATGGTAATAAGATGTGCCAATGCTTATACAACTGCATACCAAATATCATTGACCTACCACTAGTGGTTCACCATGAACTAGACCTAATCACAAACTAATACATCGTTTACGCTGCCGTCGCCATTGCCGCCGACGCCAGAACCAGCATACCTATGTCTCGCTTTTTGACTCCGTCAAGGCGAGAAAAACTGTGAGGTACTGTTCACTTATGATACTAAGTACTCCTGTTTCAATAATTTGGTAAACAGGACGTTGATGAGCGATGGATCTGAAAACATATCACACAACGCATGTTGATATGAAGTCCAGGCTTGCAACACATTTCAGGAAGCTCTGATTTATAGTTCCCTAGAAAAATGTGACGAATATTTCATACATGACCATTATGTGTTAGAAAATATAAGTGTCCAGTAAACAGGAATTTGATTAGCCATAAATCTGAAAATGCATCACAGGGTAAAGCATGTTCACATGAAGCCTGGTAACAAATTTCAGGAATCACTATATTTGTAATTCCACAGAAAAACTATCTTTAATGTAAAGTTACTAAGCAACAGAACTCACACAGAACTTTCCTTGATCACTAGTATACAATTGAGGTCAAGGCCATATGACATACTACAATCGGTATAAATCAACTGCTTTGGTATGAGCATCACTGGTGAGTCAGGTGTAGACAAAACACATGTCTGGTGTATTCAATTATAAGCCGGATATCTTTGATGAGGGTTTTTTTTCACCTAACATAGAAGTCTTTACAAGTTAGATTTTTTTTAAATAGGGGTTTGGGTATTTATTTAAGTGAATAACATCTTTTGACTTTTTGTCCAACACTTGCATTCTTAGGAATAAGAATGTGAATGACATATGAATAATTTCATCTTCATTCTAACTTTTAATATATCAATAATATGAAAAAAGAGAATGTGGTATGATCCATCATTTGTTTTGAAAAAAATTGTTGATGAGACTTCTATAACATATGTGTAATAGTAGTCTCAGGTCAGGGGGGATAAAAAGAATTTCCAAGTGTGAAAATCAATCCAAAATGTTTGCTAAATCCTCCTTCAAAATTGCTTCTGTGGAAATAAAAATGTGAAAAGTTGAAATGTTATGCTTTGGGGATTTTAAACACTAATCATTCAGTTAAGTGACACGAAATGATAACACAACCATATTGATCTAATAAAGACATCATGACATGGAAGCTACCTTGAACTTACAGTGTTATCCAGGAATTTGGCCCACTAACTTTTGATTTTACAAGAAACATCAACAACACAATCAGATAAGAATAAAACAAAAATCTACAATATTTTCATTATTTATTGCACATATTAAGAAAACAATCCTTGCAATGTTGGTTTTATCATTATACAGGTTTTTAAAAATTCTTTACCATTCATTATTTTTTTCTCATTTATACATACACAAAGGTGGGGTTTGTTTTGGCTTATAAAAGGTGTATGCTTAACATTCATACAACCAATCACAACTCCCCTTTAAAAACTCAGCTAACTCACATGATAAATGCTGCTCATTGTTACCATGACAATACAAAAATGATTACTACAAGGATTCAAACATGAGATGATTAATACAAATAGACATCTATACTTACATTTAAAACTTTTGTATTTAATATAATGAATTCAACTTTGTAGATTTTATCATTTTAGCAAATATAAAATTAAACAGAAAATAGTTAAATAAAAAAAACCAGATCTTTTTTACAAAAAATTTAGTTTGAAAATTTTCAACAATTTTGAAAGTGTTTGCAGTCAGTTTACCCAAATTAAAAGTATCTCCAATCTTCACACAATATTTTAACAGTGTTACATGTGAATAAATTAAACATGTATCTCCAATGTTCACACAATATTTTAACAGTGTTACATGTGAATAAATTAAACGAGTATCTCTCAACAAGGAAGTAATATGACTTTTTCTGCGAAAAAAATTGCCCAAAACTATTTGAAAAAAATCACTAAGTAATACACAAGGATTTCTTAATTATCTGGATTAATATATCATAGATAATTCTAAATAATCACAAATCAATAAACAAAAATTGACTCCCTTGTTTGTATGTCATTATATGAACAACTGCTTTGAAACAGTAAATACAAATAAATATATATCAACTTAAATATTTTTGATTTATAAATATTTTATTCACAAAACAGATAATATAAATTTGTAATAAATTAAGCTATGAATGTACACTGAAAATATTCTATATATACAAAATCTAACAATGATTTCTTAAATAAATGACAAATATAACATGATAAATCAAGGATTCTTTTCAAAAACTTAGGAACCCTGGAAAAGGGATGCAATTTCAACATTTATTCTCTTTAAATAATAAATGCATTTATAAAAACAAATTTTAACGATTGAAAATTTTTGTAAGTGTGTATTTTGCTTGTTTTAATACTATTAAATACATGAGCAAGTCAAATCAATGTAAGAACAGAGAATTTCAACAAAACTTAATGTTGAACATTGAACCATTAAAATGAGGTGATTGTGAGGTGACCTCCATCAGTTAAACATATAAACCTCACAACCATTCTATACACCAAATATAGCTGATATCTTAGTCCTAGTAAATGAGAAACTGATGTCACTGCAAAACAAAACGAATCATTTATCACAAAGCCATGAACAGAGGTAAATGTCAGAAGACTCCTGTAAGACAGGCATGTATTCCTTACAATGATACTATAGATCAAAGTCGACATATACAAACTGGTAAATAAATAACTGACCCAAGTGTTTAAGCATAATATTGATTAATAGAACCATGAAGAGGTCAAGGTTATACAAATCCAGTCAGACACAGGCACATTACAACCATCATATACACCAAATATAGTTGACCTAATAGTAATGACAAACTGATTTAATCACCTGAAACTTTATACAATTAACCATCTTCACCAGTTTAGCATACATGACCTGCATTTTGTGACAGGTAAGGCAAAAAACCTTTTCTTAAAAAACTTATTCATCCTAGGCAAAACCTTTATTTCAACTTTCTTTAAATACATAATAGGTTCAACAACATTATTCAATGTAACTGTAAAGTTAAACAACAGCTAAAAATTAAAATAGACAATTGTGAAGACCAAAATCTAGAAATAACATAACGACATTCTAGGACTTCAGATTGTGATAAGGAATTGTAAATCTACTCTTTATTATTTAACCTTAAAATCAACATGAATTTAGTTATATCATTTTCTACCTCTTATCAGATGCAACTGCAAATGAAAACGACTTAAAACTTTTGTTTGGAAAAATATTAGGCCAATAATATATCTGACAAAACGAACAATTAATAAGAATAAAAACTTTGGTATGCAAACACAAAATTTAATTTAACAAGAGAAAAATGAACACATTTTAAAGATTGTCCTGTCTTTCCACATCAATGTCTCAAATATTTATTGACCATTAGTATTTAGTTAAACCAACAGTCTGGCTTAAGCTCTCTAATACCATAAAAAAAAAGCTACAAAATTATGAATATGAAATATGAAAATGAAACAGTCAAACACTTCAAACTTTAAAGTCATTATTTTCAAAAAGGGATAGAACTGGCCAAAAAATCTAAGGGGAGAGAACTACAAATAGCTGTTGAAATAAAATATATACAACTTCAATAGCAAGTTTCTAGTAAAGTAATGCAATGTATATTCAAAAATATGTTCTAGGTAGCAAAATGGTGAAGATATATACTGAGACAAATGGTGGAGATATATATTGAGACAAATGTTGCCTTTTTCTGTTTTCCTAAAACTCATGACAAAAAAAATGTCCTACAACATGAAATATAAATATATCAGAATAACAGTTATTACTATTATTTAGAAAAGTGTCTTGTTATGATGAAAATGTCATTACCAAATATTGATCTCTTTAAATCACAAAAATGACAATCATAGAGATGAAGAAAACAGGAAAAAGAAACTTTTGTATTCATTAAAGTGGAATGATTCACAACTCATGCATTTGGTTTGGAACCAGTATTTACTAGGTGAAGGCATGATGGAGCTATCTTTTACATACAATATTACAAAACAATCATATAAACAACCAATGAGAATACAAGTTGCCAACAACAAAGATTGAATAAATTATAATGCTTTAATCTTTACACCAGTTATCTTTAAAGTACCAATTGATGACATTATATATGATTAGGAAATAAAGTCATTATGGCGATGAAGTATTCAAAACATGATTGGTTTTAAACCATTGTTTTTTTTCAAGAGCACCATTTCTTAATGTACTGTGCTTATTAAAAACAATGAATATGATTATTATTTGTTGAATGAAACACACCACAATCAAATCGTGTATGGTAATTCACTGTCTGAACACACTTCAGCTACTACAGATAGACTCTGGTAACTTCTGTGTAGTTAACTTCTATCTAATTTTCAGAAAAAATCGAATTAAGAATTGTCATTAACTATATATATATATCTTTCTAAATCAACTACGTCAAAAATGAAAAAAAGGGATTGATTAGACCAAAACAATGTGATACCTTGTTTACTCTATCAAAAAAACTGCCTAAAATCTTGTGCTTTGAATATGCTCTTCTATTTTGCTTTATCTTATCAAAGGATAACATCAAAATGGCACAGTGACTAAAATATCTTTCATCACATAAAAAATAACTTCAGTTTTTTTGTTTCCAATAAATCTTGAAAAAAACTCTTACAAAACTAAAGATTCCAGAAACTTTCTATAAAAGGTATTTTTCAAATATATGTGGTGGACGTCATCTTACCCTTTTTACTTTTGACTTTATAAGTGGGAACTTTTGCTCTATTTTTGAATTGTAATAATCATTAAAAAACTCAACTATACTTTAAATAATTAACTTTATATGCCTATGATACATATTTTTGTGTAAATCAAAAACAAAGAGGTATCTAATAAATAAACATATACAAAAAAAACACAACACAAGAAATATTCCAGAGATCACAAAACTAAGAAAAATAATAAAACTGTGTATACTGTCACAACACTGGGACTTATCACGTGCTAAACACATATAATTGTGAGTGTACAACTGTGTATAATAAAATATCTATAAAAACAAACAAAATATTTAGGACAATAGGAAAAATAAAAATCACAATAAAACTAGCAACTTACAAGAAAGTTTTATGAGAGGAATATTAATCTATGTATCATAAAATTGATAAATTGAAAGAAGGCCTGATTATCAATTTCCCCCTTTTATGATCATCCCCTCTAGAAACATTTATTGATACTTCTTTTCAGGTAGAATTGGACTATGTGTAAAAAATATACAAAGTCTGACCAATGAATTGCTGTGTTCTATAAGCCCATGCATTTTACATGTATGTCTTATAACATTATGAATTCAAAATGTATTCATGAGTGTGGTATAGGATTCTGGTTGAATTGAGAAACCACCATAAGCTATAATGAAAATGTATCAGAAATTCTCTACTTTTAATGTCATCTCTTTGATAAGCTTTTGTAGTGACTTGAATATAGTTAATTCACTTTGATGCAGATCTTATGAACAACTGAAGAATTAAACTCCAATCATCAAGATAACTGCATTATCCAACAGTCCTATAAAGAGAAGTTTTGGGACCTGTCAATACTGAGCACAAGTATACATCCTGTGTTATAACCCCAACTGTACTGTCTCTATAGTGTTCACTTCCTGTAGCTACGGGGATGCTGACCACGTTTGGGACTCTGTAAAATTCAAAACCAGATATAAGTATGGAATCCTCAATCTTATTCATCATGCAAATGTACTAACCAGAGGAAATCCAAAGGATTAAAGATGACTACATGCAAGGTAAGGAAAGATTACATGTTATAAGCAAGCATCTTCAGTAAGAATGACTCCATGCTTATAGACAGGCATATATGAAGCACCAATCAAAATAAGCTGTGAATTTTTTTTTTTAAATAAATCATTACCAATAAGCCAGTACAATAACTACTTTATTCCAAACCATGCTAGAATGTCAAACTGGTATATTCTATCACTGAATTCCATGATGTTTGAGGATTGCTAATGTCGTCATTCATAGAAATTCTTACTTGATTAGTGCATGATGCATTGACATTACATTCCATATTAAATGGGATAATGACAAAAGAAACACATGTTAGTATGATCGGAGGGGCTCTACAGATAAGACAGTCAAGGGCTCTACAGATAAGATAGTCAAGGGCTCTACAGATACAACAGTCAGGGGGCTCTACAGATAAGATAGTCAGGGGGCTCTACAGATAAGATAGTCAAGGGCTCTACAGATAAAATAGTCAGGGGCTCTACAGATAAGATAGTCAGGGTTGTCTATAGATAAGATAGTTCAGGGGCTCCTCAGATAAGATAGTCAGGGGGGGGGGGGGCTCTACAGATAGATATTCAAGGGCTCAACAGAGTCATGTCATGTTATTTCAAAAACTGTAATAAAAGGTGTACTCTGTTCTGATAATCAGAATATTATCATAAGATTAAATGGTACAGAATTTTCATATAAATGACCTGCAGTCTACTTAAAAGTTTGCAAAAAAAAAATCAACACAGATTGCTTCCAGTTACATTAAAGCCAAACAAATGGTTGACCTCTGAACTACTAAAAGTCACCATGATCACACTTAAATCATTAAAAAATAATATTAATGGTAGACATCAAATTCAATTTAATTATAATTCAATGAATTCTAATCACATAACATATGTTTTGATCACATGACATTCAAAGTTTTAATCGCATGACATACAATGTTTTAATCACATGACTACAATAAGGGCAAAACCACATGCTCCCAGCATACCACTCACATGCTTGTTAAATGAGCAATATAATTTATAGACAACATAATTAGTATATAAATTATTTACAAATACCAGAGCCAGCTGGTTTTTATAGCACTGTAATAAACAATTCGTTAAAACAACAAAAATCCTTCGCACTGTCTAAGAAACTGAATATAATATACATTCATTAATCTTCAATGTCAAGTTTTCCTCAATGGAAAATAGCACAGCCATAATTTTGACATGGAAAGTTAATTTTTCTCATTGCATCATGATCTGATCTGAATTAAGCAACAAAACTAGTCATTCAAATTTACAAACTATTTACAAAACTATTGATTCAAATTTACAAAGTATTTACAAAACAATATCAGACCATAATGCAAAAATCAATCTTTATTCACAATTTTTTTTATGATTATCATACAATGTCATTTGGTAAATAAACCAAGTCTTTTTTATGAACATGGAATTAATTATATACAAAATGATTTGATCAATCAATGCCCATTTGGCATTCAATTTTTTTTCAGAAATGTACAGTGTTTTATTTTATCATCTCACTATAGATTTATAAAGGGAGGTAATATTATTTTTTTTTTACATACAATCCTTCATCATAAAAAAATGTGTAAATGGTGCATATTTAAACCTCATCATGTTTTTAACACAATGAAAAATTGAACTGAACAATTCTCAATTTCAAATATGGAAATCAATGAATCCTTTGCTAATTCTTCATGCTGAAGTGCAGTAATTACATTAAGTCTGTTGAATGGACTTGTGGAAGGGACAAAATATCCAGGTGGTAGGTATATGTTGAATTGCCATTTTCATTTTAAGTGAGATCAACGCAAGCTAATACAAGATGTTTGTTTTAATTTCACTGGTCCTTTTTTTAATTTCTCTTCATCTATAGCTATTTATGATAACGGTTGCAATCAATATGTTGCATTAAAGTTTTCAATGTGTATCATACGAAAGGTTTATAAAGCCGTGACATATACCGTTTGTTCCTCAGTATCATCAAAACTCTCTTGATTCTTCCGTACATTGTCAGAATATTTATTGTAATCTTTCAGCTCCTCTGCTTTAAATCCACCAATATGGTGATCATAATATGGTGTATTCTGTCCTTGCAGAAGTTGCCTAGCTGCATTGTTCATTTCTTCCCTTGTCATATCGCCAGCCTCAGCAATTTCTTGCTGTAGTGCTCTAGCATCAATGAATCTGTTCAGACCCTCTTCAGTAAGTACCTGTTTTATGTTATATAAATTTAATAACAAAGAGCATATTAGAAATTAAAAACTTAAGTTAGAGAACGAAAAACGAAAAATTCAGCAATTTTTCCATTTGTAAAGGGGCCTATCTCTAGAACGGTATAGGTGACGCCACCAAAATTCAAACTTGATCTGTGTTTTGTAGTAATAAGCATTGTGTATAAGATTCATAACATTTGGTTAAGGCTAACTTAAGTTAGAGAACAGAAACGAAAAATTCAGCAATTTTTCCATTTGTAAAGGGTCATAACTCTAGAACAGTACAGGTGACGCCACCCAAATTCAAACCTGATCTGTGTTTTGTGGTAATAAGCATTGTGTATAAGTTTCATACATTTTGGTTGAGGTAAACTTAAGTTAGAGAACAGAAACGAAAAATTCAGCAGTTTTTCCATTTGTAAAGGGGCATAACTCTAGAAGGGCATAAGTGACGCCACCAAAATTCAAACTTGATCTGTTCTTTGTGGTTATAAGCATTGTGTATACATTTCATAACATTTGGTTGAGGTAAACTTAAGTTAGAGAACGGAAACGAAAAATTCGGCGGGGGCATAAATATATGTTATAAGTGAAATAAAATTGAGAATGGAAATGGGGAATATGTCAAAGAAACAACAACCCGACCAAAGAGCAGACAACAGCCGAAGGCCACCAATGATATTGATATAATATAAAGCCGAAGGCCACCAATGATAATGATATAATATAATGACAATTAGTGAAAGACAGTCATTTCTAATTAATAAAGTACTTGTATAAGAAACTCTGTAAATCAATCATCACAATCAGTACAGATGTCATAGTCTGGCATAATCTAACATTTCTTCAAATCAGACTTTTAAATACAAAGAGGTTAAAATCAGTAGATTGGTAAGTTCTGCTGTAATCAGTTTAAACAGATGATAATTCAGCTGACTGTCACCTTTTTTTTTTATCAGTATAACATCAGTGTTTCTATAGTTGAAGACTTTATGTTGTCATCTAAATGTCTTTTGATTGTGTCATCGGGTTGCTGTTTCACTTTGGACTGTTGTTTATCTTTTGGTCTATTTTATATGACGTTTTGACTTTTTTATTATTTTTTTTTTCATTTTATGCCCCCTCCCCTTTATCCTAAACCTTTGATAAACTGCAGTGTCATTCATACATACTCCCAAATTTTCAGAAAAAAATTGTTACTTGTAGATTTCTCCTTTAGGACAATGTTGATGTTTCAACCAATCAAACTTAATGTACTATCTGATATTTGGTTGTTGTTGAATTACCTGAGGATTATCAATCTGTTATGACACTAAGTATTATGTAAACATATACACTGCCTCAATATCTTTTATAATTTGTTGTAGTTTTATTGATCTTTATTAGTAATGAAATTATTGATCTTAGTTGTTTTTACCTAACAGGTTGGGTATTTAACTGCTTTGTGATATAGATTAATCATTTACCTGATTTACAAGATCTTCTGCACTTCCCCTAAGATTAGATGAAGGGAACATTCCTTGTCTATTGGACTGCTGTTGGGACATCACATGGTCTGGTATAATTAGTGGACCTCTTGCTCCAGCTCTGGCGTAAGGACCACCAGATGAGGCATTCATAAATGCAGAATCACTGGCTCGATGCATTGTCTGCCTGGGTGAGTCTATACTTTTCCCTTCAAAGATGGAGTTGGATCGAGTAAATATATGCGTTGGAATTGCTGAAGCATGCAAAAGAGGATTTAGTGTGTGAAGGTATAAAAGGTTGTGTAAAAACATCATACATATGATACTCTTCTGATTCAATGGGAAGATCTCATTTATTGTAGGATAATTATAGATTATCTATGCTTTTTCAAACGAGAGGGTATTCCTCAGCTACAACCTCATCGAAGGCGAGAGCCCTGAGTTGAGATGTCCTGGAGTTTGAAAGACCATTGATAATCTGTTTATCGCTATTTTAACTATGACGTCTTCGTTGTTTACATTGACAACATCACATGCGCCCTTATTTTTGATGAAAATTTTCTTTCTTAAGCGAGTTGAGTGACAAAATAAGATCAAAGGAAAAATATGCAAAATAGCAATAATTTGGAATATAACATTAGTAGTACAATTAAAAATGCCAGCTTGCCAAAAAGTTCAAGACATAGAAATATAATTTACCAATAGACTGACTTTCTTGATGGAATTTAATTAAAAAAATGTTTCATCTTGATTTTTCCAGTACTGCTCAATCAAAATATCTAAATTGTTTAAATTAAGTTCAGCAACATATTATTAATGTTACATATTTAAATTGTATGAAATCTCCCATTATCACTGAATTATCATTATCAGTGATATGATGAAACCAGTAAATTAGTACTGTTAGTACAATGTCATGCAATATTCCAGCACCCTACAGTATATCATTGGTTCTCTTTTAATGTGGTTGGAATATGCAAGGTAGATGTGAAATAAAGGAAATATGGTTGTTTGGAACTAAATTATCTGGGGAAAAGATAGAATGGTACCAAGGAAATGAAAATGGAATATGGTACATAATATAATATAATATAATGTTGATCTGAAATTGTATTTATAAGTATACTAGACTTTATATGGACAACCATTTTTTATGTATATGTCATATTTCACTTAAACTTCCAAATTAATAAATGACATTTTACTTTCTTATCAATGTTTTAACTGTAAAACTATAAGAATAAGTAACAAATAATTCCAGAGGGGCAGAACTATGACTAACTGTAAAACTATACGAATAAGTAACAAATAATTCCAGAGGGGCAGAACTATGACAAACTGTAAAACTATAAGAATAAGTAAAAAATAATTCCAGAGGGGCAGAACTATGACACACTGTAAAACTATAAGAATAAGTAACAAATAATTCCAGAGGGGCAGAACTATGACACACTGTAAAACTATAAGAATAAGTAACAAATAATTCCAGAAGGACAGAACTATGACACACTGTAAAACTATAAGAATAAGTAACAAATAATTCCAGAAGGACAGAACTATGACGAACTGTAAAACTATAAGAATAAGTAACAAATAATTCCAGAAGGACAGAACTATGATGAACTGTAAAACAACAATAAACTTTTTAATTGATACAGACGTATCTCATTACTCTGATAATACAATACTTTTTATAGTCTTTTGATGGCAGCTATACAAGACCCAATTAATACATAGTAAAATGCTTTGCCGAGCTCAGCCTGATACGACCGCAGAGGTCGAAACCCTGAACAGTTGGGGGAAGTTTGGACACAATATCCATGCTTGATACTGTCTGAATTTGGATTGTGATCAAATTTTTGACATAATATAGGTTTCTGACACAAAATAAATGTGGTCAAAGATCTAAAAAAATTGGAAATGGGACTGTTTGGTGTGTATCTCCTGCCATATCAATATTTGTTATAAAAAAAAAATTTCAAATAATTTGAAAATTCAGAAATTATGAAGAAAAAAATATGAACCCCAAAAAAAATTTTAAAGATTACTTTCTTTTCAGGAAAAATGTACAATTTCAGAGAGTTCCATAAACTTTAACACAAGTTATTGTCTGGAAACTAGAAAAATGCTTGTTTTTGACCCCTTTGTTCCCCTAATTTCTAAACATTTGGGGCAATTACCCCAAACTCAATACCAGCCTTCCCTTTGTGGCATGGAACCTTGTAGTACAATTTCTGAGAGATCCATACACTTAAACACAAGTTATTGTCTAGAAACTAGAAAAATGCTTGTTTTTGGTCCCTTTTTTGCCCCTAATTCCTGAACGTTTGGGGCAATTACCCTCAAACTCAATCACATCCTTTCCTTTGTGATATGGAACCTATTGTACAATTTCAGAGAGATCCATACACTTACACACAAGTTATTGTCCGGAAACTACAAAAATGCTTGTTTGGCCTCTTATTCCTACACTGTTGGTACCATAACCCCCAAAATCAATCCCAACCTTCTTTTTGTGGTATTGAACCTTCTGGTAAAATTTCATAGAGATCCATTTGCTTAAACTAAAGTTATTGTCCGGAAACCAAATGTGTCTTCGGACGACAACGACGCAAACAAAATCATAGCATTATACGAACACAAATTTTTTTGCGGTCGTATAAAAAGATGTAACAGGACCACACTAACCACCAACACTCAGCCCCAACATAACAACAAACACTCAGCCCCAACAGTACAACAAACAACACAACAGTCCAGATAGCCTGACCTGGTACAGGAACAAAATGTCATGGCAGGAATTGAAGCAATTAAACATGGGTACAAACCTTCCTTTCAAGACAATATGCAAATACACAAAATGTTGACACAGAGATATGTCTTGCCTGTATGTTATTTTAATGGTAAAATGCAACTGTTGAAATTAAAATGGCAATTCTTTAACATGTAAACTAAGAAAAACATTCAGAGTCAATGAACCATGACTAAAGGTGCAGGGAAAAATTAATATCCGTGGACATGAGATATGCCAATGCTAATACAAAGCATATCAAATATTTGAACTAAGCAAACAATGCTGCCAGAAACAGAATGCATCTGTCATGACTTCACGAATTGTCAAGGTGAGACAAAAACCATTTCAGTCTAGCTAAGATAGCCACAACTGTTGGTTAAATCTTAGCTGTAGTGATTTGCCAGACAATCTGACTGAGATCTGATATGGTTATACAAACCACCATATCAATATTTCCAGAAATGTACAAAGCAAAGCAGCGGACATAGCTTTGATTAAATTACAGCTGCAGTAGCATAAACCCATTGACAGAAATTCTTGATAGCTGACAACCTCTTAAAATAATGATTAACAAATTCAGAAAATCAACTTCTGTCCTCATAAACTACCATGTGTAGTTACATTGTACTCGTAAATGATGTCATCAATGTTTCATCGTTGGTATTTAATTCTGCTTTAAATCACAAGAACTAATATAAGTCATACATTAGGGGTACACAAATTGAAAATCATTGCAGCTTTGAACAGACTGGTTTTTTTTCTTCATTTAACTACACTAAAAATGTGCATTTGTATATATTTAACTCTGCAGGAATATGGCATGCAGGTGACATGTAACAATAAGAATGAAAAAACAACATGCAAAATATATCTTATAACTATGTGTTGGATCTGTGCTCAACTTCATTTTCGAAAAAAACAACTCTTTTAAAAGTTTCCAATTTCATTTACTGATTTTTCTGTGTGCATTTTGGCAGTTGTATGTTTTTACTGCAACCAGAACTTAATTAAGAAGTTTTAAATACAGAAGAAAAACTATTTAAGCCCTCTCTTTCCATACTTGTTTCTACCAAAAGTTAAAATCACTGAATAGTTTGAAGGTTAATTTTTAAAGCTACTTTTGGAGTAAACTTTAAAACAAAATACATACATTTTTATGCAAAGCAAATATAGGATAACAATCTCAAAATCATCTGGATGAAGCAGATTTCAAATTAATTTACTCTCTATATTAAAAAATAAGTATTTCAATTTATTTTTAAACTCATTTTTTATTTTTCATCCATTTAATCAAATTTATTTTGAATCTTTTTACCACATTCCTCGTTTCTATTCTCTATTTTATGATAACAAAGTCTGAGACCATAACAAAGACAACTTTTGCTGTCCAATGGTATAAATCAAGCCACAGTACAATGATGAGGGAAAGGATCACAATATGTTAGTAAAGCCAAACTAATTACTAGTCAATTCAATTAAGCCAAACTAATTTTTTCTAGTCTGTGAACTGCTATTTTGCCTGCACAATTCCATATTTTTGACAGCTACATTGATAAATATAAAAATCCCACTGACAATGGCTTCAAGATGAAGGCAACTATTTTGAAAGCTAATCATGTTTGTTTTATTTATCTCGTAAAACCTTTTTTATGATATTTTAAAAAAGATGTCAAATAAGCTTATTCCATATTGTAGAAGATCTGTACCCCACTTGATGGCACAAGTTAACATTCCGAAAGTGAATAAATCAAAAAACTGAATTCTTTTAAATACTCATGTATTGTGGTTAGTCATACTGCTAATTTACATAGAATATTTATAAAAAAAAGTATTATGAACAGATGTTTCAAAGGCCCCATTTCACTTAACTTTTTAAAGCAAAGAATGGCAAAATCTACTGTTTCAAATAAAATTCCCTAAGAAAAAATTCTGATAAATTCTTTTAACTAGAGGCTCTAAAGAGCCTGTGTCGCTCACCTGCATCTTCAACATTGGCCACCTTTTAGTAAAAATCAGCATTAAAGGGGAAAAACTCTATTAAGAGTTAACTGACATTTTCAGTAATGTTAACAAATTTGTAGATCTTATCCTGCTGACAATTTTATCCTTTCTATAATATCTATCTATCTATTATAGTTTTCAAGATAATAGAAAAAAAATGCAAAAAAGATGTAAAAAATTGTCATTAAAGGGCAATAACTCCAAAATGAGTCGACTGAAGATTTCTGCCATTATGGCTCATTTGTAGATCTTGTTTTGCTGATCATTTGTGTTATTCAAAGTTTCTATCGATCTATTACAGTTTTCAATATAATAGGCAATAATGGGGGAAAAAATAGTCGTCATTAAAGTGCAATAACTTCAATAAGGAGTCGACTAACGATTTTGGTCATGTTTGACTTATTTGTAGATCTTGTCTTGTCTTGTTGATCATTTTTGCTTAGTATTGTTTCTATCTATCTATTAAAGTCTTTAAGACATATAGGCAAAAATGCAAAAAAATGTTAAAAATTGTCGTTAAAGGGCAATAACTCTAAAAAAATGTTGTCTGACGATTTTGGTCATATTGATTTATTTGTGATCTTGTCTTACTGATTATTTTTGCTGTTAAAGTTTCTGTCTATCTATTATAATTTTCGAGATAATAAGAAACAAATTTAAAAAAACAGTAAAAATTTGTCATTTAAGGGCAATAACTCTTATAAGAAGTCGTCTGACAGTTTTGATGCAAATAGACAATAAGGAGAACTAAACATTCCGAGCATTGTTGCTCCAATCAGAATTTCTCTATTTATAGCAGTTTTCAAAATAATAGGCAAAACTTGCATATTACCCCAATGTTCTATTTTTAGCCATGTTAGCCATCTTGGTTGGCAGGTGGGGTCATCAGACACAAATTTTTTAAACTACATATCCCAATGATGATTGTGGCTAATTTTGGTTAAATTTGTCCCAGTACTTTAAGAGAAGATTTTTGTAAAAGTGAACAGATGAAGACAGACGACGGACGATGGAAGCAAAGTGAAACTAAAATATTAACTTTAAAGACACTGGATATTTGCTACTGTTCAATAAAGTTATGATTATTGAAATCAATCAATTTTTAATGTTTACAATTAAAAAAAAAAGAAGAAAAATGTAGTTCATATGCAGGTAGCATGAGTGAAAAGCATGTATTGATTAATGCAACATATATCATTTGCATATAAATGACTTTACAAAATATATCACAAAATACACAGAAGCATACTGAAAACACAACATTTAGTTGCCTTCACTATAAAGCCTATGACAAAAGGGAACACCAACCTGCTGGAGGTTTGGATTTTCTTCTTTGGAAAAGTTTCTGAAGACCTAAATAACAACATTTCAGTATGAGAATAACATGTTTTAAGGATGGTCACGGCACCTCAACCATTCAATCAAGACCATAAAAGATGCATCAATCAAGAAATTCTTATAGACACAAGTCAATACTTTTAACTTTCTGTTTAATAAACATTTAAATCTTCCTTTTAGTTTGGGGAATAAAATATATAAAACAGATCTGAAGCTGCATCATTTTGATCATTTGGGGATTCACATGCAGTCAATATTTGCAAAATGATATTGATAAAAGATTGGATTCATCCATGACAACTGGGTAAAAGAATCAGAAAATTTGGCAACAGATGATAAAACATGCAATTTGTACAGTTTGAAAAGAACAGTAAATTAAGTTCGACTGGGCATGTTTTCAGAAAATAATGCAAATCTATAAAAGAATATTGTTGTATTTGAAAACACTGATTTGGTGCGTACCTTGTGACAAGTAAGACTGTCTCATGCTGCCTGGAGAATTTGGTGGTGTTCTCTTAGTTTCTGGTACCAAAGGTCTTGGTTGTCCATCATGTGCCATTCTAGCCACTGCCATGGCCTGAAATCATCAAATTCAATTATAATTATTTTCTATGGGTGTTAAAAATCTTCTTCACAAGTGGCTACCATTTCAAGGTAGGTCATTTGATTTTGAATTTCATTAGCACTTTTTAACAGGCCATTTTTTAAAATTGACTAAACTTCATGATAGAAGAGTGGTCTTATAAGACAGGGACTATGCAAATACCGATTTTACTTTTCTTACTAAATGAAGAAGACAACTGTGATTAATCTTTTCACAAATAAGCCTAAGAAAACTTTTCAGAATTACATATTTTCTTACTTTAAAAATGCTTGAAAGAAAATCTAAATGAGTAAAAGTTCAGTAAAACAATAGGAAAGATTATAAACCACACAAAAAGTCACAACACTAGGTAGTCAAAAAAAATTTATAAGAAAATAAATTCTGTCAAAATAAAAGACAATAATGATTGTAAAAGCAGAATTTTGTTTAATTCAACAAAGCGCATTCAATGGATGTATAAAGCAGTTATTTAATGTGTTCAATGTACATGAAGCAATAAAAGTCACATGATGTGACTGCTGATGAATTTTGAAAACTAAACATTACAATGATTTATAAGTCAAATTTGACACAAACTAACAACATCCATGGTTTGTCTCGCGACTACCTGAGTTTGTGTTAATTTGAGAGGTTCTGCTACCTTCTTCATTAGAGGGTTCTCATCACTCTCCTGTTTCCCTAAACACCGCAGTCTCAGGGAGGCTCCTTTCCGACTGAGTTTCCTCGGTGGAGGTGTAGGTGGCGTATGCTCCCGTTCAAAATCACTGTCTTCTTGTGGAAGACTGGAAAATTAAAAAAATATTACTTATGATAAAATATTGAATAAAATTTCACATCAATCATCAATGGTTTTCTTAATGAAAAATCAATAATATCAACTAAAAATTTGCTTCAACAACTGACCATTTCAAGATAATATTTTCAAAAGTGATTATTAATCAAAAATTCAAATTTAAAATTATTTGACAAATATATCATAAACAACCATATTTTGTATTTTTACAACTCAAATTACTTTCCCCTGATTTAATATATAGGATAATCTCTTACTTAACTATTTATACATAATATTTAGCATGTTTTATGTGAATAACATTTGGTTGAGGCAAACTCAAGTTAGAGAACGGAAACCAATTTTGGGACGTACGTACCTACGTACAGACGGACAAGGGTAAAACTTAATGCCCCCATCGCTATGGCGGGGGCATAAAAAAGATGTTCCTAATATGAGTTCTTCAGGAATCACCTGCCTTTTTTACCATAAATAAATTTTAGATACTACTCTGCAACATTTAAAACATTTGTAATGACTTGCTTGTTATCCTGCTGTCAGTGTTAAAGTGTAATGTTGATTACCAAAAGCCAAGTCCATTTAAAAGCTTCTTTCAAATTTAACAAAGATATTGATGACTAAAAAACTTTAACCCCAGACTGAATCTAAATGTTTAATGTCAAAAAAAACCCAGTAAAAGTCCTTTTATCAAAATATGGAAAAATGAAAAAAAAAAAATATTCTAAATATCACTCTGCATTCTGTATCTTTTATTATAAAAAAGCTTCTGTCCAAATTTCATAAAATTCCATCAAGGTTTGACAAAGCTATTGATTTCTAAAAAAAATTGAACCTTAGACTGTATCTTAATGTAAACTGCGAAAAAAACGTCCAATCATCAGTAAAATGGAGAAAAATTTACTCTGGATTCTGTATTTTGAACATAAAAAAGCTTCTGTCCACGTTTCATTAAATTCCATGAAAGTTTGACAAAGTTATTGATGTCTAAAAAAACTTTAACCACAGGTTGATTCTAAATATGGATAGCGCAAAGAAGATTGAATGCAGGCTTGCTATGTCTCAATTCTGTGACAAATTGTTGCAGGCTAAAAAAATAAAAATCCAAGTTCTGCAACTGAAAAAAATCACAATTTGGAAGCTTGAACACCAGAAAATCCACTGATGTTTTGAGTTAAAACTTGAACACCAGAAAATGCACTGATGTTTTGAGTTAAAGCTTGAACACCAGAAAATCCACTGATGTTTTGAGTAATCTTTTTCTTTTTTTTTTAAAACTTTTAGAAATCAATTGGAAAACTTACAATAATACAGTTAATAGGCTTCTTAATACCTGTTAGATTAAAATAAATAGCTTTTGATACGTGTAAAATGAAATACATACTCTCTATATACATAAATGCCTTGCTTTTTGGTGAGCTCGGAGGCCCCTGGCTTTATATTGTTGCCCTTATGACCTCTACTGTCATTAGCACCATCATAGGAAGGAGGATAAGTCTCCGTATCTGAAGTATGACTAGCTGGACTATGAGGCTGAACATCTTTGTACGAATCTGAGGCTGAAGATATGGCACTGACAAAAAGCAAAGGGTAATTTTATGATACAATCATATACCAGCAAAAATTTATCACTTAATTACCAGGTTGTGTTAAAGAACTACAGGATTAATTATCAGGTATAAATACAATATCTACTTTAACAGATTGCTTCATAAAATATAGCTAACTCGGAATATTCCAGTAATCCTCCAGTTGGTTCAAGTAAGCTCTAAACATTATATTTTTCAAACACTGAAAAAACAAAATAAAGTACTTAAAATAAGTTAACAAAACCAAAATAAACCCTTGTTTCACCTACAAGAACTAGAAGCTTAAAGCAGCCTAGAAGCTAAGCACCTTTTCAACATATTTTTTTTTTATTTTGCTTTGTTCCAAAGTCATGACCATATTGAATTTGGAATAAATACATACAATTTTGAAAACAGGGCAACTTATTTGTCATCTATTTCTAACTGATTTAACTATTTTCATTGATAAATGAACAGAACAGGCTTTAATATTCAATCTGAACACTTTAGTACAGAAAGGTCAATTGTGATGTCACTATGACATCATAAATATGTTGAAATTAATGTAATATACACAAAATGGCCATTTTATGCTTAGTTTTTGGTCAAAATATGAATGAGTAACAGCTTTACACAAAAAGATATTTTACACACATAAGTATCTTTGTAAAATACATATTGTTGCGAAGTATCTTTTTGGATAACGCTATAGCTCATATCTAAATATAAATGACAAGATCTCAAAATGAGGTTGTTTTGGCAGTTTTGTTATGCACTAAATGTTTGAAGGCCTAATGCCAGTATGTAGGATGCTATTTGGTAGATTTATAATATTTTCCAAATTCAAGGGACCAAAAAAAGTGGCCATATCATACCTTCTCCATTTGAAAGTGTTTTATAGGTTCAATAAGTATTTCAGAGTGAATAATTGTTTATTCCTTAAATTCCAGCAGTCATTATTAAAATAATAACATTTATCTTCATTCTTTATACATACCTTGTATGACTGAGACGTCGCATGTCATTTGACATAATTGGCGACACTTTGACAGGAGCAAGAGGTGATGGTGAGCGATTAATGGCATTACGATATTCTACATTTAGGTGATTACTGGATCCACCAGGTGTCACTTTACCATTGAGTGAATTCTGTGGTGAGATAGTTGTGTGAGAATTGGCAGGAATAATTTTTGGCGTTTGATTACTATTAACAAGATATTGAGGAGTTTTGCCGGCGATCGGTAATGCTGTTTTGTTGACTCCAGTAATGGCTGTCATCACACTACCAAACAAGCTGTGGTTTCTCTGATAAAAAATAACAAATCATAAAATAAATTGAATTAATTATGAACAGCTTTTCAAATGACAAATTCAAGACCTAATTCAAATTATTACCTATTTCATTGTGGTATGGTATTTTTTAAGCACAGGCAATTGTAAAGTAAGGTCACAACCTGTGCCCACAGAATATAAAACTCAATAGAGCATGTATTGCCAATCTAGGAGATTGGGTGAGACAGAAATATCACAGCATCACAAGAGTGAAGAAAAAGTATTGAAAACCCTTTAATGAAAGTGGCTAGTTAAATATTGCACAACTACATTCACATCTACATAATTTCTGGAAATGTCATTTTTTCCAGATTTAAGAAAGTTTAGTTCTAGTTTACAAACATTGAGATAATGAAAGAGATTGAGATATTTGAGTTAATTTTTGTACATGTAATTGTTAAATAAATCATTTTCTACAGAAATATCTAATGTGCAACAGTACTGAAAAAGCACTATAAAGTGTGCATCACGCTGTAAGGGAGCTATATAAAGTGAAGATCATGCTAAAAGGCAACATTTAACACCTTTATATGTATTCAAGTTTTTTAAATTTAGTTTGCTTTGTATAGATCAAGATGAAACAAGAAAATTAAGTTCAGTCAGAATTTTCCAGCAACCACAGAGAATCTGTTCAAATTGAGAAACGATTCTTGACATTTACCATATCGTGATGATTTTTGTATCCAACTGACTGTGTCTATACTAATAATGTTCAAGGTTCTGTCTAATAGAACTGGACATTTCTGTAAAACCTAAAATTTTGCCTAACATGTAAGAGTCTGCCAGTACTTTGCCAAGAATGCTGTATATTTTCTTAATTTCATATCTATACCCTGAAATTGAAACTTCCAATTTCCATTTTCTACTACCAGCAAAAAAGAGGGTTCAAAGCCTGAAGTGTTGTGAATTATGTTAGATAGAAGTTTCCAAAATTATAATTACAGCTGTTCCCTGAAGTTTTACCAGATTTTTGTGTATTGTTCTACTGTGCATAGAAAACTACCAACTTACAGGGTGTAACTCATAATATTCTCCGTCAGGTCCACTTATAATCAGACATTGATCCTAATTTGGAGAAACAATGTTAAAAATCGGAATCTATTTCTATGCATACAACTAAAAATGTGACATATCTGACATAATTATATTGGTTATTTTGGAAATTGAGCATGTTAAAATTGGAATTTATTTCTATGCATACAACTAAAAATGTGACATATCTGACTTAGTTGGTTAGTTGGTTTTAGGTTTGTTTCAAACATAAATAATGATTAATTTCTACAAGTGAAAACATTGTATTTAATCTCTCATGCCATGGACTTAAAGAGGCAGAAAAAAAGTTCAATTGGAAATTAATTAATTTTTGAGCATTTCAAACTCAGAAGACAAATATTTATGCTGCCCATTGACAAATTAAAAGATCTTCATTACAAATGTAATACTTTCTTTAGGGTTGACGGTTTACAAAAATCTGTGATTAATTTCCAACTTATTTCTATGGACAATCTTCAAAAATATGTTTAAAATATGCCTGAATTGAAATGAAGAAAAAGTTCACTGACTGACTTATGGTTAGTACAAAGAAGGATTAAGTAGGAAAGACTTACTCTATGCATCGGTTCCTCCACATCTTTTTCATTGAAATCTTCTTCATCTAAATTACCAGAAATAGCTCTACGTAATTCTGGTCCTAAGTCATGTACTGCACGTAAACCAGCCTGTCAAGAAAATTCTGTAAATTAGTACCCAAAGCTATTTTTTGAGGATCGGTATTATTTTAATTAATATTTCTTTGTCAAACTATCAAATTTTTACTTCTTTCAATGCTAATAAGTTTAAAAATTTTCTAATAAAACATTTTGTAATAAGGTCAATTTTGCACAATTGACTTAAATGCTGTAATCAAACAGCCTAACTCTATGAATATATTGACATTAATGCTTCAGCATCTGCCACTACTCGGCACAAAATACTGAAATTTGGAATGCAACATAGATTTTCTCTGACAAGAAGTGAAGTAGAGTGTTGTATATTGTATTTGTTACTACATTGTAATAATATTATCAAGAACTTACATTTTTATCACTCTTGGTAAGATTGTCCTGAATATGCATGATGTTTTGTCACTGGACATTAAGTAAACAACAATATATAATCAATCTGTAGATATATAAAATTGAGCAATATTTTCTTACCTGTAAGGCATTAGTATGCTCTTGACCTTTCTGGATTTTCTGCATTTGTTCTTTACGCTTTTTAAAGCGTCGGAAATAATCTTGTATAAGAAAAGTTGCATAGAATTTTCCTACTGTCACATCATCCTCCCCTGTAAAGTATGCAAGGCAATATTTATAACATGAGTGGACACACAAAAATGTCTCCCCTGTGGCAATATTTATAACATGAGTGGACACACTAAAATGTCTCCCCTGTAAAGTATGCAAGGCAATATTTATAACATGAGTGGACACACTAAAATGTCTCCCCTGTAAAGTATGCAAGGCAATATTTATAACATGAGTGGACACACTAAAATGTCTCCCCTGTAAAGTATGCAAGGCAATGTTTATAACATGAGTGGACACACTAAAATGTCTCCCCTGTAAATTGAGTGGACACACTAAAATGTCTCCCCTGTAAAAGTATGCAAGGCTATATTTATAACATGAGTGGACACACTAAAATGTCTCCCCTGTAAAGTATGCAAGGCTATATTTACAACATGAGTGGACATACTAAAATGTCTCCCTTGTCAAGTATGCAAGGCTATATTTATAACATTGAGCGGACACACTAAAATGCCCCCCTGTAAAGTATGCAAGGCAATATTTCATGAGTGGACCCACTGAAATGTCGAGAAGATCACACAAGAAAATTTGGAAAAATCAGAACTATGGATTTCAATATGGGTCAATATCCATAAGGCACCTCAAATTAAGATACTTAAAAATAGTTTGTAAGCAAAAAATCTCTGTGCAGTGATAATGGAAATGTTTCAATTTTCAACAAGAGACTGAGCTTAACCATTTGTGCTGATTTGAAGAGCAGAGGACCATTGAATACAGGTGTAAAAACTATGTAGTTAATAAATGTATGCAAAAAAAAATTTCAAAGAACTTATTGTGTGAAAAAAAGGGATTTTTTTACCTCGAGAAGTCACATCACAAAGGGCTTTTTTGGGTGTGCTAAATTACGGGAAAATGAATATCACTTGGTACCCAGAAAATTTAACCACATGTCTGTCAGCTTCAAGAATTCTGTACATCCAATATTTTTTTTACCTTTTATTCTCTTGATGTAAACACAAAAAAAAAAATAACATTGATCACTGAACCATAAAACAAGAGGCTCTCAAGAGCCTGAATCGCTCACCTTTAATTTTTTGCTTAAATCTTTCATCAATGATTATTTTTGCTTTTCAATATATATTAATGAGTGGCTTAAAAATGCCATTTAAATATTCTTTGTATCTGTCATATTTTCTTCAAAAGCAAAAAAATGCATTTTACCCCTATGTTCCATTTTAGCCATAGTGGCTATGTTTATTGACGTACAAGGAAATAAAATACAAAATTTATACTAGATACTCTGAAACTAATTCAGCCCAAGTTTGGCTGAAATTGATTCAGCAGTTTCAAAGGAAAAGATTTTTTAAAGTAAGCAAACTAGATGAACAAATTGTGAAAAATTGTCTTTAAAGGGCAATAACTCCTTTAGGGGTCAATCGACAATTTTGGTCATGAAAACTTATTTGTACATCTTACTTTGCTGAACATTTTTGCAGTTTACAGTTTATCATATCTATAATAATATTCAAGATAATAACCAAAAACTGCAAAATTTCCTTAAAATTACCAATTTAGTGGCAGCAACCCAACAATGAGTTGTTAGATTCATCTGAAAATTTCATGGCTGATAGAACTTGACCTAATGAACATTTTTACAACATTCAGATTTGCTCTAAATGCTTTAGTTTTTGAAATATAAGCCAAAAACTGCATTTTACCCCAATGTTCTATTTTTAGCCATGGCAGCCATGTTTTTTGACGAAACAGAAAATAAAACACAAACTTTATTCTAAATACCCTAAGGATCATTCAGCTTAAGTTTGGTTGAAATTGGTTCATTAGTTTCAGAGGAGAAAATCTTTGAAATAGTTTACACCGGACGGACGACGACAGACACCAACTGATGGCAAAAGCTCACATTTCCTTTGGAAAGGTGAGCTAAAAAGGTTACTACTATGAGATGGTCATATAAAAGTGCAATAACTAAAGAAATATTGTATTCACTAACTAAATACAAATTTTCTGCACAAAATTTATGTAAAATTGATAATGTGCAATCTGTTTTCTAAAGTCAATTTACCAACAATATGTTGATAAAAAAATAAGGTTTAAAAATATAATTTCACACAAGGCATTGACATCTCACTAAAATGTAGAAACTGTCTTAGTATAAACATTATAATATTTGAGGACATTCTCTTCTTAAAAATAATATCTTTACATTAATATTTACAATAGAATATTAAACCAATTCACAAAAGTCTGGTCTGCACATTTCATAATAGTCATTAGTCTTTAGACTTTATAATGATTTGTGGCCAGACATGAGCTACAAAAACACCACAAATCATGCATTCAAAACAGTTTACTACAACAACCTCGTAATGAATGTATCACTTTGGAAATTCTGATTTTCCATCTCTAAAATTTTAGTAACTATTTTTGGTTAAGTCATTTCAAACCGCACAACAAAAATGAATTTTAAACAAAGATTTTCAATGTAATTAATTTTTGTTTTAGAAAGATTTGTGCATGAAAAAAAGTGTATAAACAAATGACATGTCAAAACAAAAAGGGCATTAAGATTTTTAAACTGCCATTAAAACATTACAAAACCTTTAAGGGCCAAGTTACCATAAACGTCATGTCACAGATTTAATAAGATACAACTTTGACATGTTAAACTTGAACCAAAAAACAATACATTTATCTCATTTTCAGAAATATAATTAAATGATGATTTGTAAAATAGATTCATTTTTGTTTAGTAATCCTGAAAAATCAGTGAAAAACATCCTCAAAATTGTTTTCAAATCATATTCTCTTTAAAAAAGAATTGGTATGTAGTTAGTTGGAAGATAAATTTCCATTTAAACGATGCAAATAAAAAATAAGATCTCATATTTATGCTTATTACAAAACAATGGCTTAACAGTGTTGTAATTCTATTCTTATCTGGACATGTTGGATGTTGTGAAGTTTTCTTCACCTAGAACTCCAGTGATAAATACACGAAACTGAATGATTTTTTGACACCATTAAAATCCATTTTGTCTTTTACCAACATACTGAAATCTGGCCACCGTCTTTACTCATAAAAATCAAATAATTAAAACCAATGCTTTGTCTCAAAAGATTTCACTGTCGCGTTGATGAATTTCACAAAAATTTGTTTGGGTTGTAATAACTAATAACACCAATCAAAAAGAAAAAAAATCCACTTCAAATATAACATCAAAAGGAGCTAAAAATACTAATCTATCAGTTCCACCCTTTTCAAAATAATAAGAGTGCTCTAAATGATAAAAACATTTCAACATCATAGTCATCTTATATCAATAATTAACGCTTCCAAATCAAAATCATTTTAAATATATATTGAAGTGTATAATAATCTAGTATACAGTTGTAACAAAATTCTTTCTCTTCTCATAAGTTTTGCATTTTTTTATGCATACTTATTCTTTTTCTTAAATATTTATTTTTAACTTCATTTGAAATTTGTTTAAGATTATCAGTATTATATATGAAAAGTTCCTTTGAATTCTTGAAAGTTTTTTTTTTTTTATAAATGAGATATAAAGTAACTTTGATGTTTAATACTAAAAGGAAGGTATAACAAACTTACTACCAGCAGGGGGGACCACTTGGTCCAGTAGTTTCTGATTTGTTCTCTTCCAGATTTTTAGAATAACTTTACGTAATTCTTCATTACAATCATCAATATTTCCTTCCACTTTAATTTTCAGCGATGTTCGAACTAACGCAAACAGAGTTGCATTAAACATGACAGTACCATCACTGTTTAAAGGCATATTCATACTGACTAACCGCTGAAATATAAAACCATCATCTCATTTTAAATGAATTCCTACAGAATGTACCATTAATTATGTATCTACTGTCTTTTAAAAAACAGTTGCTATGAATCTGCACAGATAGAAAAATTAAAGTCAGCAATCTTTTATTTTGACACAATATTGCTATAAAAAGTCAAATCTGACCTGCCTGAACTTTTTAGTCAATGACATTTTGTTCAGACTCAGTAACTTATATTATCTAGTCAACATACACAGGTGAGTTTCTTTTTTTTTTTTTAATCATTTGGTTCAACACATGATTTGATGGTTACTTTTCATTCCTTATATGAACCTGGTATGTACTTATCAGTATTTACTGTTCAACAACAAGTTATCTTAAGTTACCAGTTGTCTTCAGGCATTTTATGCAATAAAAGGTGAGTTGTCACCAGTCATTTTATATCTAGTCATAATTCAACTGCTTTGAATAGGAAAACACCTGAGATTGCCAGCTCGAAATATTACAATCTGAAATATTGAAAACAGAAAACTTATTTCCAATCGGATCATAATACTGTATTGTTCATCAAGTCTACATAAAAACTACATACCTTGCATGCAACCCTGTGTGGACATAATTTACCAAAACCTAATGGTGGTGATATTTTTCTTAACAAAGTAACTACATCTAAATGTTTGATTCTGCCCCTGAAAATAAACAAAGAAACAATTTTCAATTTGAATTGAAGAGGTGAAACTTAAGGGAACTGATTTACAGAGAATTCTTTACAAATTATAAGGAACTCATTTTCTGAGCATTCTCTACAAATCATAAAGAACTCATTTTCATGCATTATATTCTGAAATGGTGAATTGTTATCAGCCACAAGCCACAAGCTGATAACAATTCACCATTTTTAGAAATAAATGAATTTAAGTATGACTTTTCGCTACTTTACAGTCTACAACTACTCAACAACGATAAACGCTAAAATCGTGAAAATCCAACTTGACCTTCATTTAGTCACACGAAACAACATATCTAAATTTGAAAAGATTTTGTCAAATGGTTTTTAAGTTATTACACGGGCAACACTCTAAGTATCACTTTACACTACTTAAAGGTCTACAACTCAACAACAATAAAAGCAAAAATCTTGACAATCCAACTTGACCTTCATTTAGTCACAGGAAACAACATATCTAAATTTGAAAAGATTTTGTCAAAGTGTTGCAAAGTTATTGCACGGACACTGTTTAGCAGCCGCCTGCCTGCTGTACATCACAAAATTAATAACCAATATTTTCCTTTTGAAATCCTGTTAATAATGGCAATACCATGCTAACTATGCAAAACATTTGAAGTCCATGAATCATGGCTGATGGTGCAGGGCAAAATAATTACCCTGAAAGTGAGATGTGCCAATGCTTATACAAATGCGTGCCAAATAGCATAACTTACAATTAGTGGTTACTTATAAACTGGCCTTATCACAAACTTAAACAAATGGTTGACGCTGCAGACCCCAGAAACAGCAGATCTAAGTCAGCTCCACAACTTCATAGATGCGAGTCAAAACTACAAACATGATAGCTGATTAGATTGTTACACTTACTTTGCTTCTGGATCATAATCTGACCAATATCGTACAAACTCATCCAGATGGTGTGGTCCTAGTATAGACCAGTCTCTTGTTAGGTAGTCAAAGTTGTCCATGATGACAGCAACAAATAAATTTATAATCTAGAAAATGTAAAGCAGAAAAAAAATCAATTTTCAAGAGATCAAAACAGCAAAAATTAATATATTATTATCTCATCAACCCTAAAAGCTACATTAATTTATAAGTAAACTTTCAATTCACGGAAAAGAGCTTGTGGTGTCAAAAATTTTAGGATGATCAGTCAACTAGAACAAAATCTATACCCCAAGTAAACCAACTTATTTAGTGAATAATTTATTTTGCATTTTGCCCTTAAAATCTGACTAAAGAAGATTTATTTTTCAAAATTTCATACCATTGTTAATGTATTGATTTAAGAAAATATCCAAGTTTGACATATCACCCCTAACTAATTTTCATGTTTCATTTTTCATACCACATCTTATTATTACATAATTATTTTGTGTACAGCAGACAATGATAAAGACATGATACCATTATACTACCATTAAACTTATATTAAAGTTAAAGGTCACATCTAACTATCTCTACAGATATTCAGGGGTGGTATACTTACTAAAAATGAACACAGAATATAGAAAGATATAAAATAGAAGTATGCAAAATCTGTTCCACAAACTTCAGCGGCTGCTGTAACTGTGCTGTTGACTTGGTTGACCAATTCATCAGGAGGTGGACCTGTTTCACATAATACAGTAGATTTATGTACACATGACAACATGACATCTTGCCAAGCCTCTCCTGTCGCTGATCTGTAATGATAAACATCGACTTTAAAGCAAAACAATAATAACATCTTGACAAGCCTCTCCTGTCGCTGATCTGTAATGATAAACATCGACATTAAAGCAAAACAATAATAACAGCTTTATAGTATATTAAGTTCATATAAATTAAGTTTTGTAGTTCTGAGATACCACTGTGTGTCAGCCAGAAATTGATAGTTCTGAGATACCGCTGTGTGTCAGCCAGAAATTGCTAGTTCTGAGATACCGCTGTGTGTCAGCCAGAAATAGGTAGTTCTGAGATACTGCTGTGTGTCAGCCAGAAATTGGTAGTTGAAATACCACTGTGTGTCAGCCAGAAAGTTCTAGTTCTGAGATACCGCTGTGTGTCAGCCAGAAATTGCTAGTTCTGAGATACCGCTGTGTGTCAGCCAGAAATAGGTAGTTCTGAGATACCGCTGTGTGTCAGCCAGAAACTGGTAGTTGAGATACCGCTGTGTGTCAGCCAGAAATTGCTAGTTCTTAGATACTGCTGTGTGTCAGCCAGAAATTGCTAGTTCTTAGATACTGCTGTGTGTCAGCCAGAAATGGGTAGTTCTGAGATACTGCTGTGTGTCAGCCAGCAATTGGTAGTTCTGAGATACCACTGTGTCAGCTAAAAATTGCTAGTTCTGAGATACCGCTGTGTGTCAGCCAGAAATAGGTAGTTTTGAGATACCGCTGTGTGTCAGCCAGTAATTGGTAGTTCTGAGATACCGCTGTGTATCAGCCAGATATTGGTAGTTCTGAGATACCGCTGTGTGTCAGCCAGAAATTGGTAGTTGGCTTCAAATTTTACTGCCTATGTCAATCAATCTAACAAAGTTCTGATTTCTCTCTTTTTAATTTCTGATTGTTTTCAGCTTTGGTAAACTTGCATGTTTTCAGCTTTGGTAAACTTGCATGTTTTCAGCTTTGGTAAACTTGCTTGTTTTCAGCTTTGGTAAACTTGCATGTTTTCAGCTTTGGTAAACTTGCTTGTTTTCAGCTTTAGAAATGTAAACACAACGATTTCAATGAACTTAAATCTGCAGTAAATTGTTAATTCACTGAACACTACAATTTGTGCTTAACCTTTAAGACAGAAGTGGTAATATAATCTGCATTGTTCCTGTCATTCAATCTACTTTTAAAAGATTTTGATGCTGTTAGCATCCAATCAAAGTTATGTTACAAATAACATTAATCATATTATACTTAACTAGTCCATCTAACTGTCATTATTTTCCATAATAAATAGGTTTACCTGAAGAGAACTAAAACAGCCAGCTGGAAAGTTTGAAAATTGTTGTTTCTATGCAACTGACTATCCTCATTTTTTATAGAAATCTTCCCAAAAATCTGAAAACAAACAATGTACAAAAATAACATTTGGAGTATATTTGATGCCATTTACAATGTCTTTCTCATAAGAACAAGACCAATACTGTGTCTGGACCTTCAATGCTGCATGCAATTGGTTGAGTTTACATGTATACTAAAGCATAACTGATCATTCCTTTTCATTGAAGAAAAAAGAACTTTTACCAAAATCTTCCTTGTACAAAGAGTGTTGTAAAATTTTAAACTATCCACAAACAAAAGGTTGCTACCAAGAGAATGCAAAAATTGCTTACAACCTACAACTCAACATTATCAAGCTGCAGAACAAACATGTTGTTATACATATGAAAAATAAGGAGATGAGGTATGATTGCCAATGAGACAACTATCCACCAAAGCAATGTGTGGCAACCGTACGGCCTTTACTTCAACAATGAGAAAGACCTATACTGTATAGTCGGCTATAAAAGGCCCTGACATGAAAAATATGAAACAATTCAATTGAGAAAACTAACAGCCTTATTTATAACAAAACAATTAACCAATTATTGAGGATCTTTCTTGTAATACATACCTGCGTGCAATTATTTAGAATGTATGTTGTAATACATACCTGTATGCCAATTATTGAGAATCTTTGTTGTAATACATACCTCTATGCCAATTATTGAGAATCCTTGTTGTAATACATACCTGATTGCCAATTATTGAGAATCTTTGTTGTAATACATACCTGCATGCCAATTATTGAGAATCTTTGTTATAATACATACCTGTATGCCAATTATTGAGAATCTTTGTTGTAATACATACCTGTATGCCAATTATTGAGAATTTTTGTTGTAATACATACCTGTATGCCAATTATTGAGAATCTTTGTTGTAATACATACCTGATTGCCAATTATTGAGAATCTTTGTTGTAATACATACCTGTATGCCAATTATTGAGAATCTTTGTTGTAATACATACCTGTATGCCAATTATTGAGAATTTTTGTTGTAATACATACCTGTATGCCAATTACATACCTGCATGCCAATTATTGAGAATCTTTGTTATAATACATACCTGTATGCCAATTATTGAGAATCTTTGTTGTAATACATACCTGATTGCCAATTATTGAGAATCTTTGTTGTAATACATACCTGTATGCCAATTATCGAGAATTTTTGTTGTAATACATACCTGTATGCCAATTATTGAGAATCTTTGTTGTAATACATACCTGTATGCCAATTATTGAGAATCTTTGTTGTAATACATACCTGATTGCCAATTATTGAGAATCTTTGTTGTAATACATACCTGTATGCCAATTATTGAGAATTTTTGTTGTAATACATACCTGTATGCCAATTATTGAGAATTTTTGTTGTAATACATACCTGTATGCCAATTATTGAGAATCTTTGCTGTAATACATACCTGTATGCCAACTATTGAGGATCTTTGTTGTAATACATACCTGTATGCCAATTATTGAGGATCTTTGTTGTAATACATACCTGTATGCCAATTATTGAGAATCTTTGTTGTAATACATACCTGCATTCCAATTACTGCATAGATGAAGAACAACATAACTATCAGCAGTGCTACATAAGGAAGAGCCTGAAAAAATTATAAACAGCTTTTAACATCTCTGTTATACATGTTTTAGCAGGATTAGTTTAACAGCTCTGACAAACATGTACCAGAAAGTCAAACAGCTGTGTATTAAGATGTGTAACAAAGTGTCTACTTTATTATTTGAATACAAAAGTTGGCTAGTTTGGTCAATATGATTGGCATTTAAGAGGATTCCAATTAAAGCTCCGACTTGAACTGTCTGTTTATTATGGTACTTGTCAATCATACTGTATTGTATCTGGACTCTTTCTTTGTAAAAATGGCCAAGCTAACCAGCAAATTGACAAAACTAATTACATATATACTTTAAAGAACTGCTCGAAAGATATACTGTAAATTCAGAAATTGTTGCCATGTTTTTATTAATGCAATAAGATAGATTTCGAAAAAAATAAAATCTCGCATTCAATATATTAACAGCATTATTTATATGCAACATTTCCCAAAATCTCATCTAATACTCTTGTGTCCATTGTTCAACAATGTTTACAGTAACCCATAGTTTACAGTAACCCAATGTTTACAGTAACCCAATGTTTACAGTAACCCAATGTTTCATAGTTTACAGTAACCCAATTTTTCCTAGTTTACCGTTACCCAATGTGTCATAGTTTACAGTAACCCAATGTTTCATAGTTTACAGTAACCCAATTTTTCATAGTTTACAGTTACCCAATGTGTCATAGTTTACAGTTACCCAATGTGTCATAGTTTACAGTTACCCAATGTGTCATAGTTTACAGTTAACCAATGTGTCATAGTTTACAGTTACCTAATGTGTCATAGTTTACAGCAACAGTAACCCAATGTATCATAGTTTACAGTAACCCAATGTGTCATAGTTTACAGTAACCCAATGTGTCATAGTTTACAGTTACCCAATGTGTCATAGTTTACAGTTACCCAAATGTGTCATAGTTTACAGTAACAGTAACCCAATGTGTCATAGTTTACAGTAACCCAATGTGTCATAGTTTACAGTTACCCAATGTGTCATAGTTTACAGTAACCCAATGTGTCATAGCTTACAGTAACCCAATAGTTTATTTGTGCATATGGTCACAGACATGAGAATTACTGATAACTTATATTTCAGTGTGGAAAGACTTATAAGTTAACCTTGCGACATCTTGGTTGACGATGCTGATGCCTTAGGAAAGAATTGTAAGTCAACCTGGCGACATCTTGGTTGACGAGGCTGATGCCTTAGGAAAGACTTGTAAGTTAACCTGGCGACATCTTGGTTGAAGAGGCTGATGCCTTAGGAAAGACTTGTAAGTTAACCTGGCGATATCTTGGTTGACGAGGCTGATGCCTTAGGAAAGAATTGTAAGTTAATCTGGCTACATCTTAGTTGACAAGGCTGATGCCTTAGGAAAGAATTAAGTTAACCTGGTGACATCTTGGTTGAAGAGGCTGATGCCTTAGGAAAGAATTGTAAGTTGACGAGGCCGATGTCTTAGGAAAGACTTATAAGTTAACCTGGCTACATCTTGGTTGACGAGGCAGATGCCTTAGGAAAGACTTATAAGTTAACCTGGCTGGATCTTGGTTGACGAGGCTGATGCCTTAGGAAAGAATTGTAAGTTAACCTGGCGACATCTTGGTTGAAGAGGCTGATGCCTTAGGAAAGAATTGTAAGTTGACGAGGCCGATGTCTTAGGAACGACCTATAAGTTAACCTGGCTACATTTTGGTTAACGAGGCAGATGCCTTAGGAAAGACTTATAAGTTAACCTGGCAAGATCTTGGTTGACGAGGCTGATGCCTTAGGAAAGAATTGTTAGAATAGCTATCTTTAAAGAAAACTATTATAAATTAAAGAACAGAGTTCCAATGTCCCCCACGTTGCACATATTTCATCTATCCAGGGGCAATAACTTAAAAAAACACACTTTTTTTTGTTGTTCCTTAAAACAATTTAAAAATAAAAACCAGGGGGGGGGGTCAAAAATGTTTTTTTTATTGTTTACTTAATATTTCAAACACACCTTCAAGGGCATAAAAAGTTGTACCTGTGAGAGGGCTAACGAGCAATATTAACCTATAGTACAAGGGAGACAAATTTATATAAGTTCTTCTTGTTTCTGAATCCCAGTATTTATATTGTATAATTGTATAATTGTATTTTGTGCACTTTTGAAAATAAAATATTGTTTAAACTAAGTTTCATAAAAATCTGGCAAGAATTGTACCAGTGAGAGCGCTAACGAGACCATTTTCCATAAATTTAATATTTCCAAGGGTCATAACTCTTTTAAAAAAAGTTGATTGTCCACCATTATAAAACTTGTCCAAGATATTGCTGATATTAACCTATAGTATTAGTTTTATAAAAATCTGGCAAGAATTGTACCTGTGAGAGCGCTAACAAGACCGGAGGGACATGGACACATCCCCGGTTTTTCCATGTCCCCTGCAATGCGTTATGCGTAGGACAACAAGCATTTAAATATTATAAAGTATTTTCTAATCTAAAACTCCACTTTTTTTTATATATATATTGCATTGATCTTGAAATTTGTATATTTTACCTGAAATGATTTGATAAATGTCCACAGGAGAGTTCTAATACCCTCCCCTTTACTGAGCAATTTAACCAGCCTCATCACACGGAACAACCGGAAAAAGTTGATGCTAATTATACCTTGACCAGGCTACAAAACAAAACATATATCTGTCATGATTAACTTCAATAAGTAATCAATCTAAAGTAGTAAACGAAAATTAAATACAAAAAATCAATATGAAAATGCTACTAGTCTGAATTCCTAGAAATCCTTGGGATATTGTTGTATCCACTTATAACAATTCTTTCTCTTTACCTTTCTGAAACCCTGGATCCCATTCTAAAATCACAATACATGCACATTTTTTATGGGTCGTAGTATTGGTTTGTTGCAGTTCAGAATTTTACAGAGAGGTACATTGTACATGAAAAATCATATGCTTATATACATAAAGTCAACCTGAATATGCATGAAATATTTGTCACTGGACTGTAAACAAACCAACATTCATTCATTCATTGAAAGGTTCTGAAATCATATAAACCAAATATTACATAACATTACAGCTCTTTTCATAATGCTAGCAAGACAAAAGTTTGTTTGACTTGCTTGCTTTGTTTGTATAAATGTTTGCTCAAGCATTGTAATTAAGATTGACATCTGCAAACAATATAGGTAGGCAGAGTTAAACCTGTGTATAGGTAAATTTGATTATTTGATAATGTCCAATCAAATTTAAATATAATGTATACAAGTTTAAATCCGCCTTTTTATGTTGCTTTCAGATGTCAATCTTAATTACAATGCTTGAGCAAACATTGGTACAAACAAAGCAAGCAAGTCAAACAAACCTTTGTCTTGCTAGCATTATGAAAAGAGCTGTAAATCGATTAAACACTGCTAATTGCAATGGGTCTTCATTGCCACAAAGCAATGAAACTAATTTGGTTAATGCTATAATTCCAGAAATAAGTTTTGGGAAATGGCTGTATAACAGCAATATAATGACCATGATCTTATATTTGTCTTCTTTTTCAGTGCATGTACTTGAATCATTGGAGTCAAATGTTTCCATCATGTTCTGAATACCCTCCTCTTATCAAAATTCTGAGTTTCAAGTTCTGGTAAAAACAGTTAAGCACTTAATGTTGTAATTAAATCTTAAAATATATTTGAAGTTGATGGGATATGTGTAAACATATCTTGACATATACTATACTATTGATCAGTATCTATTATTAATATCACTATATCAATTAATTCATAAATCTAATTAGATAACACCTGTCACCTGTAATACTCTTGTCATATCAAACTTTGATCAAAAAGACAAAAGTTGGATCATCCGCTTAGATCATGACACAGAACTCAGACTTCAATCTATTTTATAAAGGAAGTCTTTGTACAGATTATTGTAAATCATGACATTTTAGTGCAAAATATAAAACAGAAAATAAAATAGTTTGATATAACAAGTTTCAGATGGGGAAAATATATTTAACATACAATATATGTATTACAATTACATTAACTATGAACTCTGTGCAAATTCATAAATATAATTTTGCACCATAAATAATCTTGAATATTTTTTTTATATTGGAACTATCTTGCTTTCATTTTGACTTTGACTTTCATTTTTATTTTCATTGTTCATAATTTTCTAAAAATAAAGTATAAATTTGCACAGCATATCATAGTGAAGGGAACTATTCCATACAAGGACTACCACAATATATACACAGAAATATTTACAAACTGAAAATATGAAAACAAAAGATGTTGCATCTCTATCTGCTATGTGAAGTTTGGCAAAGAAAATAAATAAAGCTAGCAAAATAAGATATGTAAGCTGCAATTGTAGCAGACAACATTTAATATAGTGCAATTGTTTTTCAGTAGCAAATATGAATCATTTGTTACCGTATATGTTAAAATTAATATCATGAAATTATCTCTGATGTTTGCAGTGCATTTTTACCTCAGTATTTTCAATTGACTAAATGATATATATTATGTTAAAATTGGTTCAAACAACATCATATTTATATATAAAACAATAAAAAAAACCTCCTCAAAAGGTATTCTCATATCAAGTATCTGGCACTGAAATTTTTTTATCATCTATGACATGTTTAATTCATTTCATTGCAACGTAAAAACATTTCCACTCCACAAAAACTGATAAAAAAGATTCTCAACAATTACTGATAAAAAGTTGCTTTTTGTTATCTAAGGTTTTCATGACTATTGAAATAGTTCAAGATCTATAATTGGACTCAAAAAATGAGATCCGATGTAGATTTCAAATGATAGTTAAAGATAAAAAACTATTATATAACAGACTATCATGTCTACAAGTATTGGTTGATTAACTCACGTTTCAAGTTTCAGAGTAAAGTTTACTCATGTTTCAAATTAGTCAAGTAAGCTTATTTTACTTCTTTTGTTCTTTGTTCATCTTTAATACAAAGTATCTTTCACAGATTTCACCAAGAGAATTCTGGGAAATTGGACATTTTCACAAATTTGCAAAAATATGCAAATTATATGCAAATTAGTTGACTCTTGATCATGTAACAGACGCAGATCTCTAAAACTATGTATTGTAATTTGGGGTGGATGGCATGGAAGGGTGGGTTCCAACCTACCCCAGCTGCAAAATTGTGATGTTAACAGGTGAACATTAATAAAACTGTGTTTCTTTGTCATTTAATTATTACCTTGAAGTTACAGCAACCCATCCCTTTTCACTGCAAGAAAATGTCAATTCATTCTCTTGCTAGGGATATATAAATGACAGGCCATGTCTGCAAAAATGTTAACTTTCAGAGATTTTTGACAAAAAGTGGCCTAGTTTTAACAAACCAGAATTTATCAGGCCAAATTACACCTCCTTGTGTTTCTGAACAATTATTTATGAAAAGGGGATTATAGTCATATGAAACAAGCTTCTTGTAATTATAATATTGAGAAAATTATTGAACCAATATGATATATTAAACTATAAAGTCCTCTGCACACTTTTTATTAAACTGATATGTACTGATAGTAAATTAATGCAACTTCATACAAGATATCATTGATCTATCACAAGTACTTCATATCAAACTAACTTAAGCAGAAAATTTAACATTGAAAATAGCTAATTAATTCAAAGTCACTGGAGCATCGTTGGTGTCGTCGCCAGAAAAGCAATCCCTATGTCTCGCTTGAAAGTCTCAGGGCAGACAAAAAATTAGACAGTTGATAGATATTGCTCTATCAACTGTCTAATTTTTTGTTTTCCATGCGTTTCCATTTGTTAATTAAACTTTGTCATAGCAGTTGTTAAATGATTTGGTATATGCTATCTTCTTTCCATGTTTGTTAACAGTTTCTATCATCAAGGTTTTTCCAGCTCACTTGTGCTGTGCGACTGCCAAATTTGTTTTTAACATACAATATATGTAATACAATTATGATCTTTTAACTCCAGCACTTATAATGAAACCCAAAGCCGATAACCAATACCGCATTAAAAACTGGGGAAAAAAAGATGGGAAAAATAACAGACAAAACAAAGACCTGATACAGTCTTTATTTTGACAGAGACAAAAATGATTGGCCTGAGGAAAACACAATGATTTACAGAATCACTGAGTCATTCTTAGAAAACAGCATCTGTGCACTGGGATGTGTAATAGAATAACAAGCACTGTGGATTTATTTATTTAAGTGAGTACCAATTCTTCCTGGATTGAGGATACATTGCATTTTCGTGGATATTCATTTTCTTCGTTTCGCTAAAAAGTCTGCATAAAAGTCCAGAGAAATTATATAATTCATTGAGCATTTAAATGGTGGTTAATCTTCGCCCATGAATTCCACGAAAATTGGTATCAAACAAATGATGACTCCACAGTAATACTAAGACTGGTCATACACACATTGTAGAATTTCTCCTCTACTTTGTGGAGATTAAAATGGTTGGCCATTCTTAATTTCAGAAATTTTTGTCTCTTTAAAAATATATGCTACTGTCAGTGTCTTGAACAAAAGGCAGTTGAACTATACAAAAACACATCAATAGAAATAAAAATTGACATTATGTGAGGTAACTAACAGATGAACCAACATGCTGAATCTATTAATATAGGTTTTCTGCTTTCATTTGAAAGGGTAAAATATATTGATTCTGTAAAAAAAAATTTCAATTTTGAAACAATACAAAAAGTTTTCATGATAAGTGTGCATATTCCTGCTTTCAATCTTGTTTAAAAAAAAGTTTTCTGCACACAAGTGCTAAAATACACACAAAATAAAATTATGTGATGATTGTCATGACAACATAGCAGGCAATACATGCTTTTTTTCAACAAGCATTTTGATTGGTGGGAACTGGGGAGCATGCTGGGACATTTTGCCAAGTCATTTAGACAAGGCAGAACATCAAGACACTAAATCACAAACCTTATTTGCCCTCTATTTTGTGCCAAATTAGGAAAAAAATTGTATAAATAATGCATTAAATATCAAAACAAACGATGTCATGACGACCTCTTGTGAAAGATGTCACAATGAGAGGCAAGAACTTTGATACAAGCAACTGTCATAAAAAAAATAAAAACAATACAAATATGACATGCAATGATGTAATTTTTTCATTTAAAAACCCAGGATATGGATAGTGTCTGCCAATTTTATTCATGCCAAGAAAAATCATGCAAATGATTTGACACAACTGACATCAGCATTCAACAAGCAGTTCAAAGCAATATTCTCTTTATGTAGTTAAACTTCCATTCTGGGATATTTTTTGAAATTATCTCGTTTCAACAAAATTCACCCAAATTTGAATATAAATTAATCAGCCAATATATACAACTCTTTAAATGTTAAACCATCATCTAGCCAAGTACGGAGAGAACAGACAAATGTTTTCAACTAAATGTCAAATATTAATCAATAAAGTATATATGTCACTCTGCTAAAAAGTAGCAAACCTAGTTCTCTACAAAAGAAAATATAAATCTAAATGAAGAAAAGACAAATGAAGATGTAAAAGACAAAGAACACCTATATAAATGTATGAGCATGGTCTTGACAGTTCTATTTCAGAAGCAACTTTAATAATGCAAGGACCAAAGCACTAGCTTAATACAAACACACAGTTACTTTATCTGACAAGATAACAAATGGTCTTTACAACTGATTAGATAACACATAGTCATTATCACAGACAAGGAAACACAGTAATTACCATTGATAAAATAACATAAAGTCATTACCGCTGACACAAGATAACACATAGTCATTACCACTGACAAGATAACACAGCCATTACCATTGACAAGATAACACAGCCATTACCACTGACACAAGATAACACATAGTCATTACCACTGACAAGATAACACAGTCACTACCATTGATTAAATAACATAAAGTCATTACCACTGACACAAGATAACACATAGTCATTACTACTACACAAGATAACACATAGTCTTATCACTGATATGATAACACAGCCGTTACCATTGATGAAATAACATAAAGTCATTACCACTGACACAAGATAACATATAGTCATTACCACTAACACAATATAACACATAGTCTTATCACTGATAAGATAACACAGCCGTTACCATTGATGAAATAACATAAAGTCATTACCACTGACACAAGATAACACATAGTCATTACCACTAACACAATATAACACATAGTCTTATCACTGATATGATAACACAGCCGTTACCATTGATGAAATACCATAAAGTCATTACCACTGACACAAGATAACACATAGTCATTACCACTAACACAATATAACACAGTCATTACCACAGACAAGATAACACAGCCATTACCATTGATTAAATAACATAAAGTCATTACCACTGACACAAGATAACACAGTCATTACCACTGACAAGATAACACAGCCATTACCATTGATAAAATAACATAGTCATTACCACTGACACAAGATAACACATAGTCATTACCACTGACACAAGATAACACATAGTCATAACATTGATGAAATAACATAAAGTCATTACCATTTACTCAATATAACAAATAATCATTACTATTGATGAGACAACACCTAGCCATACCAATATCACACCCTTCTTATTACAGCAGATACAAAAGTACATATTTAATAATGTCTGATAAGATAAACCTATTTGTCACAGCTGACAATATACCACTCCTTCAAGATATCTCCATTTCATTACAGCTGATACCACATATAATTTGGACTAAACTTTAATTAAAGAGAAAAAATGTACAAAATTTAGTCAATAAACAGCTAGATTGATATTGCAGTAACAAACAGCTGATCAGGTACATCTCTAGACATTAGAGTAACAGCTGATCAGGTACATCTCCAGACATTAAAGTAACAGCTGATCAGGTACATCTCTCTAGACATTAGAGTAACAGCTGATCAGGTACATCTCTAGACATTAGAGTAACAGCTGATCAGGTACATATCTATACATTAGAGTAACAGCTGATCAGGTACATCTCCAGACATTAGAGTAACAGTTGATCAGGTACATCTCTAGACATTAAAGTAACAGCTGATCAGGTAAATCTCTATACATTAGAGTAACAGCTGATCAGGTACATCTCTATACATTAGAGTAACAGCTGATCAGGTACATCTCCAGACATTAGAGTAACAGTTGATCAGGTACATCTCTAGACATTAAAGTAACAGTTGATCAGGTACATCTCTATACATTAGAGTCACAGCTGATCAGGTACATCTCTAGACATTAAAGTAACAGCTGATCAGGTACATCTCCAGACATTAGAGTAACAGCTGATCAGGTACATCTCCAGACATTAGAGTAACAGCTGATCAGGTACATCTCTAGACATTAGAGTAACAGATTATCAGATACATCTTCAGACATTAGAGTAACAGTTGATCAGGTACATCTCCAGACATTAGAGTAACAGCTGATCAGGTACATCTCCAGACATTAGAGTAACAGCTGATCAGGTACATCTCCAGACATTAAAGTAACAGCTGATCAGGTACATCTCTAGACATTAAAGTAACAGCTGATCAGGTACATCTCTAGACATTAGAGTAACAGCTGATCAGGTACATCTCTAGACATTAGAGTAACAGCTGATCAGATACATCTCTCTAGACATTAAAGTAACAGCTGATCAGGTACATCTCTAGACATTAAAGTAACAGTTGATCAGGTACATCTCTAGACATTAAAGTAACAGCTGATCAGGTACATCTCTATACATTAGAGTAACAGTTGATCAGGTACATCTCTATACATTAGAGTAACAGCTGATCAGGTACATCTCCAGACATTAGAGTAACAGTTGATCAGGTACATCTCTAGACATTAAAGTAACAGTTGATCAGGTACATCTCTATACATTAGAGTCACAGCTGATCAGGTACATCTCTAGACATTAAAGTAACAGCTGATCAGGTACATCTCCAGACATTAGAGTAACAGCTGATCAGGTACATCTCTAGACATTAGAGTAACAGCTGATCAGGTACATCTCTAGACATTAGAGTAACAGATTATCAGATACATCTTCAGACATTAGAGTAACAGTTGATCAGGTACATCTCCAGACATTAGAGTAACAGCTGATCAGGTACATCTCCAGACATTAGAGTAACAGCTGATCAGGTACATCTCCAGACATTAAAGTAACAGCTGATCAGGTACATCTCTAGACATTAAAGTAACAGCTGATCAGGTACATCTCTAGACATTAGAGTAACAGCTGATCAGGTACATCTCTAGACATTAGAGTAACAGCTGATCAGATACATCTCTCTAGACATTAAAGTAACAGCTGATCAGGTACATCTCTAGACATTAAAGTAACAGCTGATCAGGTACATCTCCAGACATTAAAGTAACAGCTGATCAGGTACATCTCTAGACATTAGAGTAACAGCTGATCAGGTACATCTCTAGACATTAGAGTAACAGCTGATCAGGTACATCTCTAGACATTAAAGTAACAGCTGATCAGGTACATCTCTATACATTAGAGTAACAGTTGATCAGGTACATCTCCAGACATTAGAGTTACAGCTGATCAGGTACATCTCTAGACATTAAAGTAACAGCTGATCAGGTACATATCCAGACATTAGAGTAACAGCTGATCAGGTACATATCCAGACATTAGAGTAACAGCTGATCAGGTACATCTCCAGACATTAGAGTAACAGCTGATCAGGTACATCTCTCTAGACATTAAAGTAACAGCTGATCAGGTACATCTCTATACATTAGAGTCACAGCTGATCAGGTACATCTCTATACATTAAAGTAACAGCTGATCAGGTACATCTCCAGACATTAAAGTAACAGCTGATCAGGTACATCTCCAGACATTAGAGTAACAGTTGATCAGGTACATCTCTAGACATTAAAGTAACAGCTGATCAGGTACATCTCTAGACATTAAAGTAACAGCTGATCAGGTACATCTCTCTAGACATTAAAGTAACAGCTGATCAGGTACATCTCTAGACATCAGAGTAACAGCTGATCAGGTACATCTCCAGACATTAAAGTAACAGCTGATCAGGTACATCTCTAGACATTAGAGTAACAGATTATCAGATACATCTCTAGACATTAAAGTAACAGTTGATCAGGTACATCTCTATACATCAGAGTAACAGCTGATCAGGTACATCTCTCTAGACATTAAAGTAACAGTTGATCAGGTACATCTCCAGACATTAGAGTAACAGCTGATCAGATACATCTCCCTAGACATTAAAGTAACAGCTGATCAGGTACATCTCTAGACATTAAAGTAACAGCTGATCAGGTACATCTCCAGACATTAAAGTAACAGCTGATCAGGTACATCTCTAGACATTAGAGTAACAGCTGATCAGGTACATCTCTAGACATTAGAGTAACAGCTGATCAGGTACATCTCTAGACATTAGAGTAACAGTTGATCAGGTACATCTCCAGACATTAGAGTTACAGCTGATCAGGTACATCTCTAGACATTAAAGTAACAGCTGATCAGGTACATATCCAGACATTAGAGTAACAGCTGATCAGGTACATCTCTAGACATTAGAGTAACAGCTGATCAGGTACAACTAATAAAACATTGACCGACTAGACATTGCAGTAACAGGTAATCAGATACACCTAATAAAACATTGGCCGACTAGACATTGCAGTAACAGGTAATCAGATACATCTAATAAAAAATTTGGCCGACTAGACATTGCAGTAACAGGTAATCAGATACACCTAATAAAACATTGACCGACTAGACATTGCAGTAACAGGTAATCAGATACACCTAATAAAACATTGACCGACTAGACATTGCAGTAACAGGTAATCAGATACACCTAATAAAACATTGGCCGACTAGACATTGCAGTAACAGGTAATCAGATACACCTAATAAAACATTGACCGACTAGACATTGCAGTAACAGGTAATCAGATACACCTAATAAAACATTGACCGACTAGACATTGCAGTAACAGGTAATCAGATACACCTAATAAAACATTGGCCGACTAGACATTGCAGTAACAGGTAATCAGATACACCTAATAAAACATTGACCGACTAGACATTGCAGTAACAGGTAATCAGATACATCTAATAAAAAATTTGGCCGACTAGACATTGCAGTAACAGGTAACCAGATACACCTAATAACACATTGGCCGACTAGACATTGCAGTAACAGGTAATCAGATACACCTAATAAAACATTGGCTGACTAGACATTGCAGTCACAGGTATTCAGATACACCTAATAAAACATTGGCTGACTAGACATTGCAGTAACAGGTAATCAGATACACCTAATAAAACATTGGCTGACTAGACATTGCAGTAACAGGTAATCAGATGCACCTAATAAAACATTGGCCGACTAGACATTGCAGTAACAGGTAATCAGATACACCTAATAAAACATTGGCCGACTAGACATTGCAGTAACAGGTAATCAGATACACCTAATAAAACATTGGCTGACTAGACATTGCAGTCACAGGTATTCAGATACACCTAATAAAACATTGGCTGACTAGACATTGCAGTAACAGGTAATCAGATGCACCTAATAAAACATTGGCCGACTAGACATTGCAGTAACAGGTAATCAGATACACCTAATAAAACATTGGCTGACTAGACATTGCAGTTACAGGTAATCAGATACACCTAATAAAACATTGGCCGACTAGACATTGCAGTAACAGGTAATCAGATACACCTAATAAAACATTGGCCGACTAGACATTGCAGTAACAGGTAACCAGATACACCTAATAAAACATTGGCTGACTGGTAACTTTTTTCAAAGATACATCTAACTTGGTACTGTTTTTCCAACAATAAAACTAACAACTGATATTCCACAACTAATTAATAATAATACTATAAATAGTGAATCAGGTATCAAAGTTCAATAATACTTTTCATCAAGAACCAAAAGATGATTAATTCTGAAGATAAGGTTCATTTATACAGAATTATTCATGAAATCTAAAGATTCAACTGGAATGATAAACATGAAATTCAGAAAATAGAAGACAGGACTTGGAATATAGAATTTAAGTATGAATTTATATACTAGGAAAGTCTTATAAACAACATGAATGGCCTGCCCTTATAAAACATCCTAATGATAGAGCATTCATTAATGTGCAGGGTAATTATGCTTGATGTAAAATCAAGAATCTTTTCCATATGATAAACGTATTATGTTAGATTAAGTTATCAGAAATTAAAATAATGTAAAGCGCTTTATAGAAGCCAGCAGATGCCTTATTTTTCATTTGCATAAATTGATTGGAGTTTTTCTCCTTATTTATATAATTTGGAATATATATATGTCCTGTTCAGGGAAAAAAAACATATATCTTCGTTTAACTTCAGAAATGAAAGCAGAATTTGCATTCCAGTTTTAAGCAACATGAAAACATATGACATAACACATATCAAATGGCGAGAGGAAATGCCTCTTCCTTACAACTGTGCTGTGCAAATTGTTTTCATATCAATCAAAACTTACAAAATATACATTCAATTCTTACATTTACAGAAGAGTTTATATAGCAGTTTGTGAATATGAAAATCAGAGTTAAGAAACAAGAGTCATTTGCACCAAATCAATTACAAATAGTTAACCTGTTGTTTACACTGTATGGATAATGGCATACACTTTAAAGTGGTAACCAGTTTTCACATGAAAATTTGTAATAGTACCCAGAGGCATATGATCCAGCAAATAATATAACATACTGAATAAAATAAAGAATTATTGTGAATATAATGTGGCAATCTGACCAATGGACCAATTCAGAAAGCTGACCCATGTAACATTTCAGAAATAGTCCTGTATTATGGGAAGGTCACTGTTTTAGACATTCTGATTGGTCCAAAGTGTCATTTACCAGGATGCTGAGAAAGTGCAATGTCATTCATGAAGAAGGAAGTTTATTAAATGTTCCATTGAACCTGTAATAAATCATAGCATCATTGAAATGGAAAACATTGTACCATGGTAAACAAAAATCATCATACAAGGTTCTGAATAAAATGATTTTTGTATGAATCAACAAATTTTACATTCAACACTCTAATTGATAATATATATGTCAATATTAATACATATATACAGTTCTATGTTAAAAAATCTACAACACTCCTGAAAATAAAATATTACTTTTTATTATTAGAGTAATGTAAAGATATGAAGTTTTAGAAAATGATTGAAAAGCTTACGTCGATCTAATGACAGAAAAAAAACCACAACAACATATCTAAGAGCTATTATTACATATATGTGCAGCTGCCTTAAAAAAGCAAAATATAGTGATGGATAAAAACCTAGTCAAAATCTACATCTTACTTTCTCCTATAGTTTGACATTCACAATCCCTTAAGTTCTAACAGAAGTGTGATCTATAAGATTCATTGATTGTTGCTTCCTTAACGTCCAGTAGCAATGATCTAAAAGAGGGAGCTGTTCACTGCAGAATTCTTTAATCATAATAATTTTTTTTATATTTAGAAAAAATTAAAGTGTGTTGAAGTAGGTATTGCAAAAGTAAGAGCCATCGAGTATTTTTATTCATTTAGTATGTAGAAAAAATTGCCATGGTAACTATTGTGTTCATACCGTAGTACTGTCTGAAAGAAAAAAAATGATTTTTTTTCTTTTAAAGCCAATCTGCTATGTTAATATTATGTTGTTCAATTCTGTAGTACCTTAAATTGATAACCTTTTTGAGCAACAGTTAATGTTTATGAAAATGTAATATCAATGGAAACTAAACTGGACACATTCTTAAAGTCAAATTATTTGCTGTCTTATATATTTTATTTGTACTCATAACAAGCACTCAGAATTCTGGCCAATGAATCAAACTTTATAAATGCTTTGTCATAAAAATATTTAAGAACCTTCTCCCCTCCAAAAACAACAACCATTAAATCACTGGCTTAGCAATTTACTAACTATAAAAAGCTTCTTATCAAACTAAGTAAAACAATGATTTATTTTTTGAATAAGGGTATTTATCAGCTATTTCATATGGAACAATTAATAACAATATAGAAAACACATGTTTCATTTCTATATAATTACATTACATGTATGCTTCATTATAATACGTTATTTTAATTGGCTAACAGCAATCTCGCGTCATTCCGAAATTAACCTTCATTTCAAAATGAAATGTAACATTCATGATGACACAAGCTTCCACAATAAAGTGCACAGGTAAATAAAAGGAAAACTTGATAGAAATCGTGTTTTCATGATCCTAGCCAAAAAATGTAATTATTAGTATTGAATGCTTCTTTTAGTAATTTTATATGGACTGTGCGCACATTTTTAGAATGAAGCGTGGAAGTCCGCACTTCATGCAAAATGTACTTCAGTCAACAATTTTACACCCCAATAAATTTACTAATTCTTAATTATATATTAGACAACTATTCTTATTTTATCAAGGCAATCTATTCTTATTTTATCAAGGCAATCTATTCTTATTTTATCAAGGCAATTTGAAAGTTTAGCAAAAATGATTGTAACAGGATGCTATAATGAAGTCTCCCAAACAAAATCCCCATAAGTATAAACCCCTAAGGACTCTCCTCATTGAATAAATTGAACAATAAGTTCAAGGTTAAAGATCAAGGTCATAATTGACCATTGACCTTCTGATATTTCAGTAGGCCATATGTTCCCATATCATTACATAAAAACCCCCATGTGTCTAACACTAACTGTTACAAGTTATCATCATTTGAAAATAAACAAGCATTCTGAGAGTATTGCATGGCAATACATAGTCCCCTACCGGTTAAAAATTTATTGTACTGGAACAAAATGCTAACTTGATCTATAACTTAACATGGTGTAAATTATATAACAAATAACAAGTCCATATCTTCAAGCATAACGAAAAAAGTGTAAAAAACTGATTATTTAAGTGAATTTTCGAAGTCCAAGGACCATAACTCTGCACAAAATCATCAGACCGAAACAAAATTCGAATTTGATCTGTAACTTGTCATGACAAAACTATATACCAATTTTCAAATCAATATCTTCAAGCTTAACGAAAAAAAAGTGAGGAAAACTGATTATTTGAGTGAATTTTCTAAGTCCAAGAACCATAACTCTGCACAAAATCATCAGACTGGAACAAAATTCGAACTTGATCTGTAACTTGTCATGATAAAACAATACATCAAATATCTAATCAATATCTTCAAGCACAAAGAAAAAAAAGTGTGGAAAACTGATTTGCCAGACTGACGGATGGACAGACAGACAGACGGACGGAGTGCAAACCTTAAGTCCCCTTTGACTTCGTTGGTAGGCGACTTAAAATCTTAAAATCCCAAAGGGTTCTATAGTAAACCTCTCCTTTCTTATGGACCCTCAAAGTACCCCTTCAGAAACCCCACTGCAAAAACAAAACCCTGATTGCACCACTAGACATGTTAGTCTAACATATTCTAGAACCCTAAGTTAATCTGACAAGCAGTTTTGGAGAACGGGTGCAGACAAGTTCAAATTCAAAAGTGGCAGATGAAAAAGAAGAAGAAGAAGAACCAATAAGTCTGCAAACTTTGTTCAGGAGACTTAATTAGAAAATTCATTAGATTCAGGATTTTTTGTAACTTTTTTCATTCATTGATGAGGTTATTTTTTTAAGACACACTGAGAATTGTCAAACTATAGAGAGTAAAAGTGTAGATTGCTCTAGGCAGAAGATGCAGCTAGCCTTCTACCATTCTGACTGTGGGAAACGTTAGTGATTTAATTAAAAACTTAAAAATAAATACAGAAATGACTTACCTTAGAAGTCTAAATACAAGGCAAGGCAGGTAAAATTTACAATTTTTGTCAAGCTTCTTTTCAATTTTCAACATATATATATCATACATATCAATCCTTCTCTTGTATATTTTTACAAAACAGCTCCAACTAAACACTTGTGGGTTCTTCTCAATAGTCATTTAACAAGGTTATCAAACAAAAGAAATATCTTGATGACATGTTTGCAGTGAAGCAGATAAGATTTTTTCAAGCAAAGAATTATTGCATGAGAACTTTTCTACTTACATTTTTATATAGGTATGTTATTATAAAACTCAACAGGAATAAAAAAAAACATATTCAAATATGAAAGGTAAGCTATAGATACTCTGCAAGACAATGGCTGAGAGAAATCAGGTAAAAGAGACAAAATTCTGAACAAGACAAGAAATGAAGTGCAAGATGAATTCATATGATGTGCATCAACTCATTTAGATCTGAATCACTCAGATACTTACATTTACTTCTGTATATATAATATCTATAAAACTTCCTAGGACTATGATGAAATCAAATACATTCCATGGATCTCCAAAGTAGTTCTGAAAAAGCAGTCATACAGGATTTATAGAAAAACAGACAAACCATTACAAAAATAATGTAATTCACCAACCTCAAAATTTATTTCATAAAATCATCTTTAGGCGTCATCAAATATTAAAGTTTTATCTTGATTTAGAATCTGACCGTCCTCCATGATGTCTTCTTATAGATGAAGTATAGATGTTCTTACCTTAAATCTAAATGCCATAAGTTTGAGTATAAATTCTATTGTAAATACACCAGTGAAGATCATGTTAAGATAATCTAATGCTTTGGAATATGTTTCGGACTGTCCATCATACTGAAAAATAAAATATAGCATCAATAAATTACTCATTCAGTAATACAAGGTTCTGAGGGCACTGTTATAAATATCACTTGCCAATCTTTTTCAAATATCCTCTCTCTCGAGTACCAATCTTTTAACAGAAACAAAATATTGGTAAATGGTTCCACTTGCTGCTGTCAGTGTAAAAGTGTAATGTTGATCGCCAAAAACTAAAATCCATTGATCAGTAAAATACAGAAAAAAAATCCTAAAAAAATCATACTTTTTTCTTCAGTTGCTATTTCTTGATCTAGATGAAGCTTATTTCCAAGTTTCAAAATATTCAATGAAGGTTTAACAAAGATAGTATAGAGTAATCCAACACGGTATGTAAATGTTAACTGCAAAAAAATCTAAGTCATTATCAATAAACTATCGAAAAAAGAAAAAAAAAAGATATTTTCTAAATTTTGCTGCAGATATTGTCTTTTGATAATAATAAAGCTTCTGTCCAAGTTTCATTCAATTCCATGAAGGTTTGACAAAGATATAGATAGAAAAAAACATTTACTTCAGATTGAACCTAAATGTTGACGACACCAACTATATAAAGTAGGAGCGCTATGGCTCACTTCAGCAAACTAAATGTTGTAGGCTCAACAAAATACAATTTGTGATTCATATGTAGATATCAACTTTATATATATCAGGTATTGCTCAATTTTAAGCATACATAGAAATTTTAATTGTTTGTAATGTTCATTTTGATTTTGCTTTGATGGTGTCACAAACTTCAGGGCATTATAGATGGTCTGAAATTACATGCGCAAGCACAAAATAATAGATAATCAATGGTTTTTCAAACGAGAGTGTGTTTCTTAGTTACAATCTCATAGAAGGGCAATAGTCCTGGGATAAGATGTAGCCGAGAAACATCCTAAAGTTTGAAAGACCATTGATAATCTGTCAATTGCTTTTTTCCTAGGCTTATGATGTCATTCATTCTCTTCCTACGTGACTGAGAAAAACCCATATCACTCGAGTAGTGTGATATGATAAATTATTACAAAAAAATATAAAAGCAAAATTAAAGAAAATAGCGATAAATGTATTTCTTGCAATGTATGTTACTGACCTTTAAAGCTAATATAACAGTGTTCAACATAATGAGTGTAAAGATTCCATATTCAAATGCTTGAGAGGTGACAAACCACCATATCTTGTACTGCCACCTAGCCTTTGGTATGTATCGTCTCATTGGTCTCGCTTTTAATGCAAACTCTATACATTTTCTCTGCAAGTGTATAAAAACAGTTCATTAGTAGTGTGTATTCCATGCAACGCTACAACATAAAAGGTTGGCTTAATTTTACCAAAAAATTGTAGATTAGATTTCATATCTAGACTGAACAACATTATTAGATAGAGTTCGGTGAAATGACCTCCCACCAGTATAAAAATAAGGAGATGTGATTTGATTGCCAATGAGACAACTATCCACCAAAGTTCAAATGAGTTGATGGTAAACAACTATAATCAGACTATAAACCTTGTTTTTATTGACTGATTTATTGTTGGTGTTTTAACGCCACTTTTAAGAGCCACATTTGGGCTATTTCGTGGCGGCCAGTTTTTATTGGTGGAGGAAGCCGGAGTGCCCAGAGAAAACCACAGACCTTCGATAGGAAAACTGACAATCCTAGTCAATTAAGATTGGAGTCGAGTGAACTCGCACGAGCAGGGTTCGAACTCACAACCTCAGTATTGACTGGCTAGTGATTACAGTAGTAGAACTACTTAGACCACTTAGCCACCAAGGCCCCCCTTGTTTATAAACAAGTTAAGTAATCATCTATTCTATATATTCAAACTCTCACCTGATTTTTATCTAATTCACAATTTTTGTATTCCTGCTCTCCTTCATTCTGAAAGGTGACGATGACAAAACCTACGAAGATGTTAACCATGAAGAAAGCGATCACAATGATGTAGATAAAATAGAACACAGCTACTATTGGACGGAAGTTGTGTTTTGGACCAAGATCTTCTTCTTGTGAATCTATAGATATATACAGTAATCTACAAAGTAAAAAGATAAAATGTTAGCCCTTATGTGATTCTATAGATATATACAGTAATCTACAAAGTAAAAGGATAAAATATCATTTTCAAGATACAAACTAGATATTTTTTTGTAAGATATGAATGCTCCCATTTGCAGACTAGTTGTTAAATTTTCATTTCTGAGAATTTATAGAAAGTGATGTGTACTAGGACTGATAAAATTCAAACTTAAATTTTGAGAAAATTGTTCAAACACAAGGATTTGCAGACTTGATCTATCAAACTGAATATATTTATTTGTTTCTAGTATGGTTTTATATTGTTGAACTGAATATACTTATATGCTTCTAGTACGAAAACGTTGAGAGTATTTAATGATCAGAATTCTGTATACCATAAGCTCTGTATTTTGTTGATTAACTGACTTTTATATAAAGTATCCACTATCCAAAATACTTACTGTGGCCATCCCTCAAATGTAGCCACTGTAAACAATGTGAGCATAGCCAAATGTACATTGTCAAAATTTAGCTCATTATTGGTCCATTGTCTATCTTTGATTTTTGGATTATCAATAGTACCATCAGGGAAAACTACAAATTCACCACTGAAATATATATATACATATGTGTCTATTATCTATTCAATTTTGTAAATCTAATTCAAGATCTATCTCAATTTTAGTTCAAGTATTTCATAATAAGTGATCATTATAAATAAGAAGATGTGGTATGAGCGGCAATGAGACAACTCTCCATCCAAGTCACAATGTATAAAAAGTTGTTATAGGTCAAAGTACAGTCTTCAACACGGAGCCTTGGCTCACACCAAACAGCAAGCTATAAAGGGCCCCAATGACTGATTATCTAGGTTTGTGCGAACATAAATCTGTTATATTTTGTGCCTATACCAAGTCAGACCATCTTTACCATGTTTTGTTCATTGTTGATAGTATTTGTTTGTATGTCTATTTTTTCAGAGGAGTTGGGTGTCAGCAGACAACATGAAATTCGTCGGACCGTCGGACAAATGCAGTGAATAATGGATCGGTCTGGTAAAATTTTGTTGAATTCCTGTCCGAATGTCCGATGTTGTTTATCGTTTGGTTTTGTTTTTTATTATCGTATTTCTGGTAGATTACTACTTCTGTTGTATTTTCAAATTTATATATGAAAGTATTCTAACTTTTGGCAAAATAAGTTTTTTATTTCATTAGAACGTGATGAAAGTTGCCTTAAGTAAATTTGTAATCCATTTATTGCATTAAAAACGTCATATTCCTTTCCAAATAGCATGTCAAATATCGTTTATTTTTGTAAATTTTCTTCGTCCGCCATTGACTTATTTTGTACAAACTACGGATCAGAGTCGGAATTCACAAGAAACAGACCAGCTATGAACGAAATCCGGATTCTTAAGATGTTGACTATGGACGCATGAATGGCACAGCTGACAGAACAATATAGATCCCAAAAGGAAAAATACGCATTCCACACGCACTAACATACTTTTGGTTAGATCTACTTGATTAATGTATATATTTCCATGTCTATTCATTGTTTCAATTTATTAATTAAAGTTGCTCAACTCTGGGACTATTATACTAATATCATTATATTATGTCGCAGCTAAACTTTGTTAAATTTATATATCTTTTTAATGAGAAACACTGAATTTCATAATAATATAACAGAGTAGTTTTTTAATTGAATTTTAATTGATATAACAACTTTCTTTTCCTTTTTGATATAAAAAAGTTCTTTTTTTTTTATTAGTGATAGATATTAAGTTGGTAGTTTCTGACAAGAGGACTAATATAATTAATAACAAATTTATAACAGGCTGTACACACAGAAAGATCAGTGCATATTCCTGAAATGCATTCAAGCAATTGTGCACAACTTTCATCAAAATATACACTCTTGTCACATGATTTTGTTTTTGTGTATTTTGGAGAGGAGTAGGGCACAACAAGTCATAAGTTTGTTGTATATTGTCAGATAATATACAATTAGATGTACAAAAAAATTGGTCTGGTAAAGCTAGGTTGTTTACCAGACCAAATGTCCTGTAAAAATAAAATTCATTCGTGTAGTCTATGTCGGTGGTTGCTATGTTATGTTGTACCGTGTAGCATATGTCGGTGGTTGCTATGTTATGTTGTACCGTGTAGCATATGTCGTTGGTTGCTATGTTATGCTGTACCGTGTAGTCTATGTCGGTGGTTGCTATGTTATGCTGTACCGTGTAGTCTATGTCGGTGGTTGCTATGTTATGCTGTACCGTGTAGTCTATGTCGGTGGTTGCTATGTTATGCTGTACCGTGTAGTCTATGTCGGTGGTTGCTATGTTATGCTGTACCGTGTAGTCTATGTCGGTGGTTGCTATGTTATGCTGTACCGTGTAGTCTATGTCGCGGGTTGCTATGTTATGCTGTACCGTGTAGTCTATGTCGATGGTTGCTATGTTATGCTGTACTGTATATATTCGATAATTTCGGATTTCATTTTAACAGTATATTCAAGTAATCTTAAAAAAATATATTGTGTGGTCTCTGAGGGAAATTACAGCACGAACAGAGAAGAATGTATAAGGTGACTTACTGGCATTCACTTTGTACTTCTTTTGATTCATCTGTACAGCTGTGAAATTTTCCCTACAACAGATTTCATAATTCATATTACAATCTATAAAACACTAATAACAAGATTATAACAGAATACATTCATTCAATTTTTGATCACCATTGAAGGAAGTAAAAGGCTTTAATGTTAGAAACAATAAGTTTTGGAAATGTTGACAGGAATAAGAGCAATTGTTGGTATACTTCAATGAGACACCAACCCAACAGGAATGTAACTAACATGATGTTATAGATGATCTACAGGAGTTTATACGTACCTTAAACAACTGTACTCCTATAACGGAGAACATGAAGGTCAGTAGGAATGTAACCAGCATGATGTTATAGATGATCTACAGGAGTTTATACGTACCTTAAACAACTGTACTCCTATAACGGAGAACATGAAGGTCAGTAGGAATGTCACTAACATGATGTTATAGATGGTCTACAGGAGTTTATACGTACCTTAAACAACTGTACTCCTATAACGGAGAACATGAAGGTCAGTAGGAATGTCACTAAGGGATCATAGATTTATTCTTACGAGGAAGCTCCGAGCATGCTCGGAGGATGCTCGGAGCTTTTCAGTAGGCTCTTCTCAGCAGTTAATGTGACAATAATTATCATGATCCATTAAGATGTCAATCAAATCTATAGCACTTTTATAATAAGGAAAGTAGAGCATTATAGAGGAAGCTCCATTAACACCTGTGTAAACATCTGGTCTATTCAAACAAATCTTGCATTAATTTTACAAAACTATAAAATAGATGAGAAATTCTTCAATATTACTGTACAATGCTTGGTATCAAGTCTTCACAGTCACAGAAAGAAAATGATTTCAAAACATTTTCTTAATAATTATCATTCTTTTTCAATACACATGATATAAAAAAACACTCAAATTTTATATTTGAAATATAAATATATTTTAAATTTATACTATATAAAATGAAATATAAAAGTCATCAAAGACGCAAACTATGGTTATTGATTTATAACCATACTACCAAAACATAGTACATTCAGTTTCATACGAAAAAGGGTTGATCTTTTTTATATTCCATTTAATTTGACAGTTGTTTGAAATAAATCCTCCATTTCATTGCAGAAAATTTTTTTGAGACGCAAACATGTTTCTTGGGTGTTTCAAAGCAATAAAAATATATTATATTCTACAGGGAAAAAGGGGGAGAGAATTTGATTGGTTAACTTCTGGTGATGTTTACTTTCTTATATGCACTGAAAAGTTATGCTATATTTTCACTGTAGTACAGGACATTTACTTATGTCAAGTATTTCTTTATTTAAAACATAGATAAATTCTGCACTTTTTTTTTGAAATATAACAATCATGACAATTAAACAAAGACTTATAGGGGGAAAATAATTTTACTCATGCCAAGTATTTCTTTATTTAAAACAAAGCTAAATCTGCACAATTAAAATAAAATGCCAAGTAAAGAGAGATGTACTAGAGGGAAAACAATGGTGGTATTACCCCCTCAAACCAGGCATCCACTAATGAATTAAAACTTTTCTTAAAGTAGCCATAATTTTCTATAAAAGAACTTAGTTTGCTATTTAAAAAAAACATATTACCATTGTTTAGTTAGGGGCATTACTTAAACAAGTAATTTTCAAAATTACCTATCCAAGTTATGTTGAAAACAAGGCTGTTTCAAATATTACTTCTATATCATGAATAAGTAACTTCTGTTAATATTATTTTTATAGGTGTTCATTCATACAGGTTTTACTAGCTTTAACAAATTTTCACAGACATCTGGTTATTTTCCCCATGAAATATACTTGTAAAGCTATTTAAATCCTCAACAAGCACTAATTGCTTTTCTGATGCCACACTTCTTGGTCAAAGATTGGCCTCTTGGGGCTATTATAATATCATTTCCCCTTAAAATCTTAGAGATAGACAGTTATAACTAGATATGGAACCTTTAATTAAGACTTGAAGTTATTTATAATTTGAATCTTAATCGAAAGCAATTACATATATTCCTTAAATAATTGTAAGTACTAAGTTTTTTGAAGTTGTATAAAATAATTTATTAAAGTAATATTTTTGTCATTATTTTTTAAAGTAACCTCTCTATACTCATCTAAAATTGGATAAATACTTAATTTTATTTAATGAAATGATATAAAAATTCTTGAAAACTACATTTAGTCCATGCTTTATTTGTCATTTAAAATAACTATTGAGTTATTAAATAATTTTTAAAAACAAAAAATATTTATAAAAGTGACTAAAAAAAATTACTTGTTTAGTATCGCCACCTGACTGCTGTTTGTGTCTTGATAACTTTTATGTAGCATAATATCTATTTTTAAATCATATCATCTAATTATAAAATTTGAGAATTTTTTTAATTATAAAAAAAGGAATGATTATTAAATATAATAAGAAAATATTTAAATGACTTTTACTTTTTGTGGAGACTTGAGATTTCTTTCTAAGCATTACACAGCACTGTTGAAGAATTTCTAATCTATTTTATAGTTTTGTAAAATTTAATGCAAAATGTATTAGAATAGACCAGATGTTTACACAGGTGTTTATGGAGCATCCTCTATAATGCTCTACTTTCCTTATCATAGAAGTGGTGTAGATTTGATTGACATCTTAATGGATCATGATAATTATTGTCACATTAACTGCTGAGAAGAGCCTACTTAAAAAGCTCCGAGCATCCTCCGAGCATGCTCGGAGCTTCCTCGTAAGAATAAATCTATGATCCCTAACATGATGTTGTAGATGGTCTACAGGAGTTTATACGTACCTTAAACAACTGTACTCCTATAACGGAGAACATGAAGGTCAGTAGGAATGTCACTAACATGATGTTATAGATGGTCTACAGGAGTTTATACGTACCTTAAACAACTGTACTCCTATAACGGAGAACATGAAGGTCAGTAGGAATGTCACTAACATGATGTTATAGATGGTCTACAGGAGTTTATACGTACCTTAAACAATTGTACTCCTATAACGGAGAACATGAAGGTCAGTAGGAATGTAACTAACATGATGTTATTGATGGTCTACAGGAGTTTATACGTACCTTAAACAATTGTACTCCTATAACGGAGAACATGAAGGTCAGTAGGAATGTCACTAACATGATGTTGTAGATGGTCTACAGGAGTTTATACGTACCTTAAACAATTGTACTCCTATAACGGAGAACATGAAGGTCAGTAGGAATGTCACTAACATGATGTTATAGATGGTCTACAGGAGTTTATACGTACCTTAAACAATTGTACTCCTATAACGGAGAACATGAAGGTCAGTAGGAATGTCACTAACATGATGTTATAGATGGTCTACAGGAGTTTATACGTACCTTAAACAACTGTACTCCTATAAAGGAGAACATGAAGGTCAGTAGGAATGTCACTAACATGATGTTATAGATGGTCTATTGGAGTTTATACGTACCTTAAACAATTGTACTCCTATAACGGAGAACATGAAGGTCAGTAGGAATGTAACGAACATGATGTTATAGATGATCTACAGGAGTTTATACGTACCTTAAACAACTGTACTCCTATAACGGAGAACATGAAGGTCAGTAGGAATGTCCCTTACATGATGTTATAGATAGTCTACAGGAGTTTATACGTACCTTAAACAACTGTACTCCTATAACGGAGAACATGAAGGTCAGTAGGAATGTCACTAACATGATGTTATAGATGGTCTACAGGAGTTTATACGTACCTTAAACAACTGTACTCCTATAACGGAGAACATGAAGGTCAGTAGGAATGTCACTAACATGATGTTATAGATGATCTACAGGAGTTTATACGTACCTTAAACAATTGTACTCCTATAACGGAGAACATGAAGGTCAGTAGGAATGTCACTAACATGATGTTATAGATGGTCTACAGGAGTTTATACGTACCTTAAACAACTGTACTCCTATAACGGAGAACATGAAGGTCAGTAGGAATGTCACTAACATGATGTTGTAGATGGTCTACAGGAGTTTATACGTACCTTTAACAACTGTACTCCTATAACGGAGAACATGAAGGTCAGTAGGAATGTCACTAACATGATGTTATAGATGATCTACAGGAGTTTATACGTACCTTAAACAACTGTACTCCTATAACGGAGAACATGAAGGTCAGTAGGAATGTAACTGACATGATGTTATAGATGATCTACAGGAGTTTATACATACCTTAAACAACTGGACTCCTATAACGGAGAACATGAAGGTCAGTAGGAATGTCACTAACATGATGTTATAGATGGTCTACAGGAGTTTATACGTACCTTAAACAATTGTACTCCTATAACGGAGAACATGAAGGTCAGTAGGAATGTCACTAACATGATGTTATAGATGGTCTACAGGAGTTTATACGTACCTTAAACAATTGTACTCCTATAACGGAGAACATGAAGGTCAGTAGGAATGTAACTAACATGATGTTATAGATGGTCTACAGGAGTTTATACGTACCTTAAACAATTGTACTCCTATAACGGAGAACATGAAGGTCAGTAGGAATGTAACTAACATGATGTTATAGATGATCTACAGGAGTTTATACGTACCTTAAACAATTGTACTCCTATAACGGAGAACATGAAGGTCAGTAGGAATGTCACTAGCATGATGTTATAGATGGTCTACAGGAGTTTATACGTACCTTAAACAACTGTGCTCCTATAACGGAGAACATGAAGGTCAGTAGGAATGTCACTAACATGATGTTGTAGATGATCTACAGGAGTTTATACGTACCTTAAACAACTGTACTCCTATAACGGAGAACATGAAGGTCAGTAGGAATGTCACTAACATGATGTTATAGATGGTCTACAGGAGTTCATACGTACCTTAAACAATTGTACTCCTATAACGGAGAACATGAAGGTCAGTAGGAATGTCACTAACATGATGTTATAGATGGTCTACAGGAGTTTATACGTACCTTAAACAATTGTACTCCTATAACGGAGAACATGAAGGTCAGTAGGAATGTCACTAACATAATGTTATAGATGGTCTACAGGAGTTTATACGTACCTTAAACAATTGTACTCCTATAACGGAGAACATGAAGGTCAGTAGGAATGTCACTAGCATGATGTTATAGATGGTCTACAGGAGTTTATACGTACCTTAAACAACTGTGCTCCTATAACGGAGAACATGAAGGTCAGTAGGAATGTCACTAACATGATGTTGTAGATGATCTACAGGAGTTTATACGTACCTTAAACAACTGTACTCCTATAACGGAGAACATGAAGGTCAGTAGGAATGTCACTAACATGATGTTATAGATGGTCTACAGGAGTTCATACGTACCTTAAACAATTGTACTCCTATAACGGAGAACATGAAGGTCAGTAGGAATGTCACTAACATGATGTTATAGATGGTCTACAGGAGTTTATACGTACCTTAAACAATTGTACTCCTATAACGGAGAACATGAAGGTCAGTAGGAATGTCACTAACATAATGTTATAGATGGTCTACAGGAGTTTATACGTACCTTAAACAACTGTACTCCTATAACGGAGAACATGAAGGTCAGTAGGAATGTCACTAACATGATGTTATAGATGGTCTACAGGAGTTTATACGTACCTTAAACAATTGTACTCCTATAACGGAGAACATGAAGGTCAGTAGGAATGTCACTAACATAATGTTGTAGATAGTCTTTACTGCCACTATCACACACTGTACTACATGCTAAAAAACAGACAAATATCATATAGTTTTACTGCTAAAAAACAGACAAATATCACATAGTTTAACTGCTAAAAAACAGACAAATATCACATAGTTTTACTGCTAAAAAACAGACAAATACCACATAGTTTTACTGCTAAAAAACAGACAAATACCACATAGTTTTACAACTAGAGTATAAAAGTTAAATAGAATTACACAAATACAATATTCTCCATTAAAAAAATCATTTTTCTGCACTTAATAAGTCAGGAATTGTAAATTTTAAATATAAATTATATGAAATTTTAACCCCTAATTATAATAAAGTTTGCTTATATGATGGGTTTTCAGGGCAAACATCTGAAATTACCTGATAGAAATGTCATTTTTTAAATAAACAAGAGACTTCTAAGAGCCTGAATCGCTCACGTGTCAAATATTGAAATAATAGGCAAAAGTTAATAAAAGTTTGTCTTTTAAGAGCAATAACTATTATAAGGGATCAGGCAATGGTTTATATAAAGATTTGCCTGATAGTTACAGTCACATAAGATTTTTTGTAGATCTTGTCTGGCTGATCATTTTTTCTGTTCATAGTTTCGATCTATCTATTATACTTTTCAAGCTAATGGGCAAACACTCGAAAACAAGTAAAATATCGTCATTTGAGGGCAATAACTCCTACAAAGAGTCCTCCAATAGTTTCGATCATATTAGGTTTTTTTGTAGATCTTGTATAGCTAATAATTCTTGCTCTCACAATTACTACCTTACAACCAGTTTTCAAGATAAAAGGCAAAACTTATAACGTAATTTAAGGGCAATAACTCCTATAATGAGTGATCTGATAGTGTAAGGTGCATACCTTTAGTCCTTTGGCTCTGTTTATAGCTCTCAATGGTCTCAATACTCTAAGCACCCTAAGAATCTTCACTACAGATATGGTTTGATTTCTGAAAACAAAAATTTACAGTAAGTCACCTATTTCTATACAATATTATCATTATGAATAATAATGGTTTTTTTTTACTTTCTTTCAAATTAGAATCTTTTCATAATAACTGATCTTAGAGGGATAAATAATCAGAGGAATATTCAAATCAAATCAAGGTTACCAGAATACAAATAGAGGAAATAACATCAATTGATGAATGAATATTTTACATCCCAAATATCAATGAAATTAATCTGAAATTTCACTTTTAAGCCTATAATAATAAATCTCCAGATATTTAGAGGGTGCTGCTGTTAAAGAGTTTATTCTGTACTACCTAAAACTTGGTCAACATAAGAACTGGAGACTGAATTACTCACTGGAATATAAAAGATATCAACGATACAGCAACTACAATCAAATCTAAGATGTTGAAAAAACTACGACAGAATGATCCTTTGTGCCATATCAGACCATATGTTATAATCTGAAAAAAATATATATATTTAGTTATAAAGCATATTAGCCTCTGTGTCAAGATAAACCATATGTTATAATATAGTAAAAATATTTAGTTTATAATAAGATTGGTCATCACTACTGTTGTGGTTCTATTTTCACAACACATGTGCTAAAGTTTGTTTTCTGGGGATACATGATTGTTTTTTTGTGTTGAGGAAATAACCATGAGGCAATTGTCTGTGTCATTCTTGTGGATACCATAAATTACTTGAAAAAGTCTGTCAGAAATTTCTAAACCAAAGATCAAATTTACGTTAGGAAGAAAATTCTGATGAGAGTTTTGAAGGCTTTCATCCTACATTTTATTTTTCAGACTTATTCATCAGTTATTTCCGATGACAAATTTAAAAAATATTCGTATAGGGTTCCGCTGAACTCTGTGTCTCGCCTTTGCTGCTGTCAGTGTAAAAGTGTAATGCTGACTTAAAAAGTGAGTCCATTTAATCGGTAAAATTTAGAATTTAAAAAAAATCAAACTTTTTCTTTAGATGCTTTTTCTTGGTCTTGAAGATTAGCTTCTGTCCAAGTTTCATAACAATCCATGATGGTTAACAAATTTATCATGTCGAAAAAATGTAATCCCAGACTGTCTGTAAATGTTAACTGTACAAAATTAAGTCCATCTATCATAAAAGTACTGAATATGAAAAAAAAAATATATTTTCAAAAGTTTGCTTCAGAAATTATCTCTTAATCAATCATAAAAAAATCTTCTGCCAAAGTTTCATAAAATTCTATAAAGATTTGACAAAGTAATTATTAAAGATTAACAAACTTTAACACAAGACTGTATCTACTTGTTAACTGTAAAAAAACTAAGTCCATTTATCAGTAAAATGCGGAAAAATGAAAATAGATATTTTAGAAATTTTGATCTTGATATTGTCTTTGAATCATAAACAAGCTTCTGCCCAAACTTCATAAATTGTCTGAAAAACTTTAACCTTAGACTGAGCCTGAGTGTTTACTGTAAAAAAAACTAAGTCCATATACATGTATCAGTAAAATACAGAAAAATAAATAAAAATATTTTCAAAATTTTGCTCTGGGTACTGTCTTTTGGTCATAAACAAGCTTCTGTCCAAATTTTACAAAATTCTACGAAGGTTTGATGAAGAATAAAATTTATATTGTTTGATGTTGTTACCACCCACCTAAAAAGCAGCCTACCAGAAAAAAAATTTTCAAAATTTTTTTTTCAAATATTTTTTCCTGCTCTTACATCGTTTTCTTGTCTAAAACATGTAACTTAAGTTGTTGGCTAAAAAAAAAATCCCTACCTACCTACCCAACGCTACAAGTCATAGGTATGCAACATCAAACAAGAAATTTATTAACAGTAGCCTTGTTGATGTCTAAAAAACTTTCACAACAGACTGAACCTAAATGTTGACTCCTCCCATGCCGAAGACGGAATCTAGGATTGCTATGTCTTGTTTTGCGATATAAATGTCTCAGGCTCGACAAAAATCAATATGTTTGCTTGCTAAAATTGGTAAAATTAAAAGAGTACTGTGAAAAACCTTTCAGTGGAACATACGTTTCAATTAAGTTACTTCCCCTTTTGTCTATTTTTAATAATTTTTTTCGGCTATCTATACTATGGTTTATATTACAATACTTACTTTGATGAGAATTTCAACAGTGAAAATAGTGGTGAAAAAATAATCAAATTTATTCAGAATCTGAAATAGAAAGTAGAAACTTCTTCAAAATCAAAATTAATCAAAGAAGAAATTAATCATTAAGAAAATTAACAATTCTAAACAAAACAATATGGACATATATAGATTTAACCTTTACACAAATCAAATGTTTTAATATGGTATATTTACTCGTAACAAATAATTACATGAATGTTTAATTTTGTATTTTTCGAGCTGACAACCCTGATCTGTACTGTCCAATGTCTAGTAAGACTTCTAAAAATATTACTTTAGAGTTAGGGTTAACTTAATTTTAGCAGATGCTTTTTTCCTGTTTAGTCCTTTGTAGGCAATTTCGATGCAATTATTATCGCAATTTTCTAACTTTGTTTTTGTATTCATTAATGTTTGAAATGGTTTTTTTTTCTACTCACATAAGTCGCAAAAATGAAATTATTAGTTTACAGTAAATTGAAATGGATCATCCAGTCCACATTATAAACTGATATTTATTGATTCATATAATGTATTCAGAAATGAACACTATCAATACAGAAGTTTTCGGATAGAGACTGTTTCAACATGGAGGATAATAAAGTCTTATCATATGACATTTTTCTATGAATCTGCTTAATCTTTCTCCCCAATGAACAAAGCAAATGGCATGATTTTAACAGAAACCACTAAACAATTTTAACAACTTTTCTAATTTCACCTTGCTGAATACCTATGGTCAGATGAAAAGACACACAAGTTTAATATTTCATGCTGACAACATGTTTTTGATTTCAATCATATCTAACATTTAAATATTAACATGTGACTGTTGTGTGTAAAATCAGATCAGACTCACAAAAACAGACTAACACGATCTTCTGTATTAGAATACCAGCTTGTACAACAGACTAAAAAGTAAGACTTACACTGTTTCTCTTTTTATCAAAGCCTAGCGGGTCCTCAGCAGCTAACATACCACTACTGATAATTATACAGGCTAGTACAATGTTCCCAAAGTAGGGATGGTTACATATCTTGTGACATATTATACGGAATCTGAAATACAAAACACCTCAAGTAGGGAAAGAAACAAAATAACTAACACACTGTAAAATAAGGAAATGTCATACAATTACTAATGGGACAATTATCCCTTATAAACCATGGAAATGTCATACAATTACCAATGGGACAATTATCACTTATCAACCAATATTGTATTTTATGTAGGGCCCAGGGATAACAAAACCCACACAATATTGTATTTTATGTAGGGCCCAGGGACAACAAAACCCACACAATATTGTATTTTATGTAGGGCCCAGGGACAACAAAACCCACACAATATTGTATTTCATGTAGGGCCCAGGGACAACAAAACCCACACAATATTGTATTTTATGTAAGGTCTAGGGATAACAAAACCCACACAATATTGCATTTTATGTACGGCCCAGGGACAACAAAACCCACACAATATTGTATTTTATGTAAGACCCAGGGATAACAGAACCCACACAATATTGTATTTTATGTACGGCCCAGGGACAACAAAACCCACACAATATTGTATTTTATGTAAGGCCCAGGGATAACAAAACCCACACAATATTGTATTTTATGTACGGCCAATGGATAACAAAATTAGAAAAATTCAAAAATGACAACCAACAGCCTAATTTTAGCTAATAATAGTAATGAAACAAAACTATGACAGACAGCAACCAACAACAACAGGCTTATGGCTTGGGACATGAAGAATGAGGCCTGGTTAAACATTATTGTGAGCACTTAACTTCCCACTAACCTGGAACAGAGGTGTAACAACAAACTGTATAAATAAGCAGAAAACAATCCTGTATATTTCACCTTTTCTGTGTCGAATATTAATCTATATCAAACTGATACAAATCAAATTAGATCAAGAGGCTGCCAAAATGACAAACTATTTTTTTTTATTTCATATATTAGTCATTGTTAAAACAATGAAGGGCTATAACTCCTGAAAGGCAAAAGTGAAAATTATCAAGATTGAACTTGACCTCAAATTTATCATCAGTAACAGCATATTTAAATTTGAAAAGCATTACTTGAAAAGTTCTCAACTTATTGCACATAAGACCACTTAAATTTCTGAACAGTGAAAATGAAAATTGTCAATATAGAACTTGAACTCAATTTTGTCATCAGTAATTACATATTAAAATTTGAAAAGCATTGGTTTAAAAATTCAAAAGTTATTGTGCTGAAACCACGTAAAGTGCCAATATCCGACCAATCAAAGACTATAAATCATGAAAGGAAAAATCACAGTGTCAATTTCTAAATTGAACTAAATTTTACCATCAGTGATAACATATTAAAAAGTGAAAAACATCTTCAGCCACTCGTTTACAATCCAAAATCAATAACAGGATTTCCATTAAAAATCTGGTTAAAAACTATGAGTTGAGTAATTCCTGTGGTTTTCCTTACTTGTTTGTTTTAGAGAAAAAAAATAAAGATGAAGCTTCAGGAATCATTTTGACTTTTTCGTTGGGTATTTCTGTGATACGACGAGGCCGTGCTGTAGAATGATGAGATTCATCTTCATCTTCAATCGATTCATCATCATCTTCCATATCATTCTGATTTTCATCTTCTTCTGAAATAAGTACAGAAAAATAATTCTTAATAAACTTGAAGAGTATTTAAACGTCAGCATGTTTTGTAATTCATGGTAAATTTAATTAAACATTATTCTGTTACTGACCATCAACTTCACCATTGTGATGAATGAAAGTAAATATAATTAATAATTTCTTAATTGTGTTCAAGAAAATAAAAATATATCATAATTAATTTCTTAATTTCATTGTTAAAATCCTTTTCTTTACTATCAATTTATATCTATGGTGCATATTGACCATTATTGCAACTTTAAATTTGCAGATTTTTCAATTTCACTAACAGCTAATTTGAAAGGTGAAAATGCTTCTAAATTACAGGTGTGTACATTAATAAGAATTCTCTACACAAAAACAGACGGGACAGTTTGACAAGAAATTACACATATCTTATAGATCTCATTATAATAGCTGCAGTCCTCTAAGTTTTTAAAGAATGTTAAAATGATACATAACCATAATAAAAGTTCTTTGATATCATTCCTAATGCTCTTTAATACTTTTTTTAAGAGGATATGTATCATTTTGCATTCTATAAATGTATAACTGTATTTTAAAAGGGTATACAAGAAATAGATAAAGAGTTAAGATTGATTGAATGATTGTTGCTTGCTTTCAAGTCCAGTGGATAAAGCAAAGATTGAGGTACCAGGGGGGATTGTAAATGAATACTAAAAGTGCTCTCACTGGATAACTTTAAATATAAAGTGCAATATGACTAAAATGCATCTGTGATTTATCATTTTCACTATATATGTGTGTTGATATGTTAAAAATTCAGATATTTGTCAAATCTTCAATTTTGTCTAGAATACTTCTTCTTGCCCTTTTATCGTTTCAAATTCGAAGAATAACTGTAAATACCTCATATTGGTCTTTTTTATAACATTTGGGTATGAGCAGTTCTGAAACCACAAACATATAATGGCAGAGGCCATTGCTCATGTAAAATGAAAATTCCAGAAAAAAATTGGCCATACTAAGTTATAATTGATCATTTAACAATAAAATTACAATCACTTTGATAGGATTGAAAAATTTAACGGTATGGCAATTTCAGGGACCAATTAATGGCTCTTTTCATACATTTCCTGTATGATTATACAATTACTAGATTGTTTCAACTATTGAGTTTATTCTAGTCAACAGCAAGCATTAGATACAGTTTCCATACCAAACTATTTTCTTTAATATAAATCAGGACCAGGTAGTGTAACAGGAAAAAATGACTGAAGGTTATTTGTGTTTAAATTTTCTGATATTTCCTAAAACAATAAGGAAACCCAAATTCAATATACCATTATGGTTCAAACTTTCAAGAAAAAAAGAAAAGAGAGAGAAATCTTAAAGTATATAATACTCTAGCACTTTTTATTCTTCTATTATAAATGGTTGTTTTTATGTCAAGATCTACAAATACAAGTAGGTTACTATATACATGGTAACCTTGATATACTAAGGATGGTTAATAGTTTGGTATGAAAGTGTAAGAGACATAGAACGAGGAGTTTACCATTACCCTCTATGGGTATCTGATGACTGTCACGGAATTCCCCTGGTGATCCATCACTTTGATCTAACCGTAGTCTGTGTGGCTCAGGACTGTCATCTTTCCTGTTAAACATAATTTTTATGATTTTTTTCTCATAAATAAAATGAAAGAGTAGGTATTGTTTTACAGATGGGAATAAATGATTTAACATAAAGTATTAGAGTGTCAGAGGTGAAGATTTCTTTCTGTGCAGATAAAAAAAACTTTCAGCATTTCTAATACAATATTACCTAGAAATGCTCTTCAACTGTTTCTGTTCTTATACATCCTAAGCTTTTAAAGTATTCGTCTTTGAGCGTTCCTGATGAAGGTAAATCAAGAAAAGTGCTCTGGACTAATGAAATTTATAAAGTGTTGTTTTCATTTCTAACCTTTATCTGATTTTTTTGTGCTTTAGAGCTGGACATATGGTATAATCACTTGTCCAATACCCGGAGTGCTTTAGAGCTGGACCTATGGTATAATCACTTGTCCAATACCCGGAGTGCTTTAGAGCTGGACCTATGGTATAATCACTTGTCCAATACCCGGAGTGCTTTAGAGCTGGACATATGGTATAATCACTTGTCCAATACCCGGAGTGCTTTAGAGCTGGACCTATGGTATAATCACTTGTCCAATACCCGGAGTGCTTTAGAGCTGGACCTATGGTATAATCACTTGTCCAATACCCGGAGTGCTTTAGAGCTGGACCTATGGTATAATCACTTGTCCAATACCCGGAGTGCTTTAGAGCTGGACCTATGGTATAATCACTTGTCCAATACCCGGAGTGCTTTAGAGCTGGACCTATGGTATAATCACTTGTCCAATACCCGGAGTGCTTTAGAGCTGGACATATGGTATAATCACTTGTCCAATACCCGGAGTGCTTTAGAGCTGGACATATGGTATAATCACTTGTCCAATACCCGGAGTGCTTTAGAGCTGGACCTATGGTATAATCACTTGTCCAATACCCGGAGTGCTTTAGAGCTGGACATATGGTATAATCTTTTATTGAGAACTGTGTTTGATCTTATGATGTCTCTTTTCATTTTATACAAATTAATAAGATAAACATTTATAATATGTCCTTCACTTTTATCTTGCTTATCATGTTCATGGTATAAATAATCTTAAATTTATTAACCAGCAAAACAAAGAGACTTGGAAGAAAATAAAACTGTGTATACCTGTAAGATCGAGATGATCTTGCACTTGGTTTCCTAGAGAGCCTCCCTAAGTCTTCATTTTCAACAGTACCTTCTTCATTCATTCCTCCTACACCCTCATCTTCATCAGGCTGCTAATCAAAATAAAAAGTCATCATTGGTTAAGAATAAACAAGAAAATGGTGAATTGAATCTGTCTTCATAATGCCTGATAAATGTTTGAGTTTCTGCAATAAATTGAAGTTTTGTAGTATTTGTGGAAATAATGTTAAAATAACATATCAATTTGTAAATATTGCATTGACATTCATACCCTCGACCAAGTTTATTCCTGGTTTTTGGTGAGGTTTATGTTGCTCAATGATCAATTTTCTGTAAGGTGTTTTGAGGACTTTTGTTTGTTTTCTGTAACTTATTTGTTTTTGCTAAAGCTCATAGTAGTTTCTCCCCTAATGCAATTGGCTTGACCAAACATTATTTCATTACTCTGAGCTTTTAAAACATCAAGTGTGTAATGACATAGTTTTTGTTATACTGTCAAATAGTAATCTTACCACATCCTTCTCTCCATCTGGTGTTCTACTTTTTGACCTTCGTATAGATCTCATTCTTTCTTTTTCCTCCTCTTGCTCTTCCTCAATCTCCGTCAGACTCTGAGCATCTGCTAAGTTATCAACAGCAATGGCCAAGAAGACATTCAACAATATATCTAACATATAGGTCAAGGCAAATACATGTCATACTAAATATCAAAATAAATTGCAAATGAGATAACTCTATCACTATAGTGGGCTTAATTTATTGTCTAATATACATGATCTTTGTATCTCTGTCATGTTTTAAAATATCTTTTTCTTTTTTCATGTTACCAATGTGAATAACTTTTCATACAGTCTAATTAGGTCAGCATACCTTGTAGTAGGTTTTTTTTCGCAGGTGTAAAATTTGGCGGAATTTTTAATGCCCAATAAAATATTTTGGCCAATACTGCCAAATATATACAAAAGCGTCTCAAACTTAGTTGTCTCGTGATACTTTTGCTAGCTGAAGTTTGTGTTCAAGATATTTAAATTGCGAGAGAATATCTAATTTGTCATTCAATCAAACAAGTGTCTATTGTTATGGTCAAAATGATTTTCTTTTCACCTGAATGACTTCTTATTTATTGATTATATTCTGTTAATCTATAGAATACTGGTAACTGACTTAGATATTTTTTACAGGTGTACAAACTTCTTGTAAATCTTATGGTTGATTAGTTACGAAGTTGACCGGACCTTTGATGTTCTAATTAGGTAAAAAATTATCAAAAGTGACTCACAACTCTTGTATAATTTGACAACAATTAAGATAGGCAAAATACCTGACAGAGTACCTTACACTCTGTTTTATTTTATTTGACACTACTTAATAAGGGTATACATATGTATGTACAATGCACTTTGGCATTTGTGTTGTTAAAACTAGAATATACCATTATTGACCTGCAGACTGGAAAAAGAATAGATCGATCACAAAACGCTTTAGCTATTAGAAAGTACCAAAAACTTTTTTTCTCGCTTTTGATTTATTCGGCAATATAAGTGAAAATAAACACCCACTAAAATAACCTGCTATACGGTATTAACCATAAAAGTCTTCTTTATTTCATCTTAAAAGAAACAGCTTTCTTCACTGGCATTATCATAACTGTCATAGTATAAACTATTTGGAGAATTTGGTTTTGATGGCAGATTTTTTGTAGTTACTGTTTAGACTTTTTTTTAGAAATTGACATATTGTCTATAGACGGAGACTGTACTTAGCCCTGTAGAAATTGACATATTGTCTATAGACGGAGAAAGTACTTAGCCCTGTAGAAATTGACATATTGTCTATAGACAGAGACTGTACTTAGCCCTGTAGAAATTGACATATTGTCTATAGACGGAGACTGTACTTAGCCCTGTAGAAATTGACATATTGTCTATAGACGGAGACTGTACTTAGCCCTGTAGAAATTGACGTATTGTCTATAGACGGAGACTGTACTTAGCCCTGTAGAAATTGACATATTGTCTATAGACGAAGACTGTACTTAGCCCTGTAGAAATTGACGTATTGTCTATAGACGGAGACTGTACTTAGCCCTGTAGAAATTGACATATTGTCTATAGACGGAGACTGTACTTAGCCCTATAGAAATTGACGTATTGTCTATAGACGGAGACTGTACTTAGCCCTGTAGAAATTGACGTATTGTCTATAGACGGAGACTGTACTTAGCCCTGTAGAAATTGACGTATTGTCTATAGACGGAGACTGTACTTAGCCCTGTAGAAATTGACGTATTGTCTATAGACGGAGACTGTACTTAGCCCTGTAAAAATTGACGTATTGTCTATAGACGGAGACTGTACTTAGCCCTGTAGATGTATTTTGGTATGTGTGTTGTTGGATTTCTGTCTCTTTGACATATACCCCACATACTCTTTAATTCACAGTGCAAAAAAAAAGGATACAATTACCACAAATAAACAATATAACAAAATAAAAACAAACAAGAAAACCAATATCATTAACTCCACCAAAGGCGTCAATGCCTTTATACATCACTTCATTCCAATCTTCTCCCGTCAAAATCTGTAACAGACATGAATTCTTTTTAGTTTTTTGGAATAACTGATAATTAGAAACACTTAAGCCATGTTTTTCACACTTTTGTTGCTAAAAAAATAATTAATTTTTCTTCATCACTGAAAAAAGATCTGAATAAATGAACAAATCAGCAGAAAAAAGAATGAATGACTGAGTGTAACCTTAACATATATACTGCACACAACTTTTAAGGTTTAGCGATGCACATTGTACATGTGGTTCATATCTCAATTTAAAATCAAACAAAAAAGTGTATACTTAGGACAGTATAATAATTGGAGAAATCCAGTCAGTCAGTATAGAAATTGAAGTAAACATTGTATCAGTTGGATGAATAGGATATTATTATACTTGTACCTAGATTCTGTCTACTGTTAATCCTCTGAGTCAACTCTACAGTCAAGTCAGGTTATTCTATTCACCCTACATGACTGTGCATTTAGTTGATATAACGATGAACTGATAAAATGAATGAAATTACCAGCCATTAAAGAATCTTTACAGAATAATTATCAGTAGGTGTAATCTTACTGCACCAACATGGGAAGCAAGAACCTGTCATAATCTCACCTGGAAAACTGTCAACATTGACTGACAGAAGTTGCCATAATTCTTACCTGGAACACTGTCAACATTGACTGCCAGAAGCTGTCAAAGTTACTGCGAGGTTTTGGTTCATTGTCAAAGTTAAAATTCCCACCAAATAACTGCATCCCCAATAAGGCAAATATCACAATAAAAAGGAATAACAACAGGAGTAAACTGGCTATAGATCTCATACTGTTCAACAGTGACGCTACCAAGTTACGTAGTGATGCCCAATACCTGTGGCAGAGAAAAAGTTTAGATATAAAACTTTCAAATGAAATAATTTGTAATCACCATTTTGATTAGTCAACATCATATTTATTTAGGTCTACCGGTTTGTACCTAAGGAGAATCGCCTTTTTGAACTCATGAATTTATAAGTATGTGATATATTCAATAATAGAAAGAAAAAGCAGATGCCCCTCTCTGATATTATCCTTTTTATCAAATTTATTTAATTTCGAAGTGTACATACAGACAACAAATGTCTGGTTTATTGATGTCATTCTTGTTCCAAAGATGATTTATGCGATTTTAACCCTGAAATAACGTCTCAAATTGAATATCTGTTTTTTTTTGCATTAAAGTGGAGATAACTGTCTTGTATTCAAGCTTGGCCGATGTAAAATGTTTTAATGTCGCAAATATTCATTTACCTGCACAAATATGTATATTTTATTTTCAGCATTTAAAATTGTAAAAAACTAACTTTGAAGTCATGACTAGAGAATGCATGCAAGCATTCACATTGGCTAGAGGTATAGGAGTTGGGATCTAACAGAACATATTAAACCCGGCCACATTTTTGTGCCTGTACCATGTCAGGAACCTCTAGCCTTTGTTATAGTTGTATTTTTTAAATTTTGGTTCTTTGTGTGTTTCGGAGTTGTGTGGACGCCTGCGGGTGCATTATTTTCTCATTGTGTTAGACCACTTGATGGTCTCAGGCTGTTTTCTGCTCTTTTTTCAGATTGTTGCCTCTTTGACACATTCCGTTTCCATTCTCTATTCTATGAAAATGTGGAAGAATCTAATTTATTGCTTCATTATTCCAATATCCAATCATTACTCTATAAAGTGTTAATATTAACAACTATATCAAAGTATACAAAGTACTTAATATGATAACATGTGCAGATTAGTGAAAAATAACTATACTGTCAGTTCTTACCTGGTAGCTTTGAATACTCTAAGTAACCTTGCACAACGTAACACGCTTACTCCTAAAGGTGGCATCACATTAGTAAATATTAAGATGGCTTCTACTATACTGAATAACACAACTAAACTGTCAAAACGGTTAAATAAAGACACAAAATATCCTTGGAAGCCTAAACTGTACATTTTGAGAAACATTTCTAATGTGAATAGCACAACAAAAAATAAATTGGCAACTTCTGAAAAAGAAAAGAATAAAAAAGAATTAGTTATATACAGAATCAACAAATTTTCTCAACTAAAATAATCAGAATATTACAAAAATATCTTTCACGAGTTATTTGATTTTCAAGAAATTTGCTTTGCCATCTTGATTCTATAGCTTAAACATGTTAAAGGCAAACCTGGATGTCAAGTATAAAATAATTATCTTTCCATTTTAATCCTCTTTTCACTGCCTATTCTATCACACCTGAATGAAGTTTTTGTATCAACTATAGAACCACATTTTTAGTAACTTTTATTTGTAAAATGTCTTAAACTGTCCTTCAATCTTTTCTCAGATAATTAAAATCCAAATAATAATGGTCCAAGATTAGATCTATGTCTATGAAATACCCTTCACATTTTTTTTTCTTCACAAAATCTGTTGTAGGCAGGGATCAAAAATGTTTTCATTCAAATATATATTTCATTCATAGGACAATGGAGTCAGTGTATGAGTGTGTTTATAATATTGTTACACAAGAGTTTTTTTGTTGTATTTAGCAAATACTTTTGGAAGTTTATTACCAGATAAGAGATATGTTACCTTGGAAATCATCCAACCAATCAGGTTGTCCATAATGTTCTGATGTTAAAACACAAGTATTCAGGAACACCATGACAATGACTAGCCAATAAAAAACTTGAGATTTCACTAATTTTCTACACAATCTTCTACAACGTCTATTTAACTTCCGTAATCTCCGACTGAAAAATAAATAAAACATATACGAATATTTGACAAAAATTTAATCATGAAGAATTTCTTTTCTCTTAAATATTAATTTTCTGTTCTTCAAAATTCTTTACATCATCTTAGACCAAGCATTGGTGCTTTTTTTTTTTGTATTGTCTTCTCTTCAATGGGTTTAACAAACAGATGGTCTGTTAGACTGCATTTAAACAAGAAAACATGCTCTTACTCTTAAATGCAGTGTGCATGATGGAAAAGCGGCCAACAGTTTCAGATTTTGATTTGACCTACCTGGGAACCCATGACCTCAAGGATTTGATGGCTTACACACACTTTGTAATTTTCAATGACAAAACAATTGTCATGTGACTTTTTTCATACAATGAGTAGCCTGGACATTTGACCCGAGATTTTACAACACTTTAAACACAAAATGCTTTTTTGAAAAAGCTGATTAATACAAGAAAATCTCAGTATAAGATATCAATTTAGTGAAGTCAATTTTTAAGTCAAAATTTGTTGTGTTTACTGAAAGAAAAATTTTAGGATTTGAACAATATTTCACTGAAATAATCCACCTTACCACAATAGTAACAACTGCATTAGATCTTATGACTAGTAACAACTGCATTAGATCTTATGACAGAGACAGATTGAGCATGGTGGAAATCCATTTCTGGGTCAATCATAGTTATTAGACTGTTATGCTATCCTCCTGTACTATCCATGCCAGTACCTTCCACTGGGACGTAATATTAACATTAGGATATATTTTTATAACCTACCTTTTCCTTATGTACTATCCATGCCAGTACCTTCCACTGTGACATAATATTAACATTAGGATATCTTTTTATAACCTACCTTTTCCTTATGCACCATGTTTGTTGTATTTCCCCATTTTCTACATCTTCTGTTTTGTCTGAAGCTGTTTCACTTGCATTTTCTGTTCAAATTAATTTATACTTAATTAAATCATAATGACAAAATATTTTCATGCAATTTTATGTAAAAGAAGTCTGTCATGTAAGTATTATAAGTGATTGTAAAATACTTTTATTCTAGCAATAGACACACATTCTAGTTTTAAAAAACACTTTTTTTTGCTATTAAATGAAATTTATCAAAAGGATGTTAAATAAGTCAGAGTTCTGTATCTCAAAATCTAAAAATACATACATGTGACATTATGTTCATAAATTAATAAGGCAGTTAAGCAATTAAAATATCTAAATTATGAAACTATGAAAACATCTGTTTATTGTGAATTCATCTTATTTAAAAAAATAATTTACAAAAACAATTCTTGGTTATTTTGTATGCATGTTATTTCATGATCATGACAAAAGATATCCTTCTCACAGGATGTCTAATTTGATGATTTTCCAACAAATGCAACAAAAATACTAATGAATTCACATTAATGTTTTGGTATGAAAAAACGGGCACAGGGCATGTTAGCGAAAAATTTCAAACTTTTAGGGGACATTTCAGTGCAGATATTATAGCCCATTTTAGCACCGGACTAATTCTTTTACCTGTGTTTTCGATGGCCCATTTTAGCACCGGACTAATTCTTTTACCTGTGTTTTCGATGGCCCATTTTAGCACCAGACTAATTCTTTTACCTGGGTTTTCAATAGCCCATTTTAGCATCGTACTAATTCTTTTACCTGTGTTTTAAATGGCCCATTTTAGCACAAAATTCCCTGGTTGAATAATACTCTCAATACTTAAAAGGTGTAAAAAAATTATGCTGATTTCCACATAAGATTTGGGCAGAAGTTCCAAATAATGGTCCAGTTGTTCTATGCACATTATAATGTGCAATTTTATAGTTGTCACCCAGCCATTTCTGTTTATCTGGATACTATCATCAAATTACAAGCAACAACATAAATTAAAATTAAAAGTATCGTTGGATCTGCACCTCAATTTAGACAAGATAGAGAAAATAAACAGTTCCTATCGCAATTTTATGAACAGTGTTGTACAGGGGTATAATCTAGGGCCTAATAAGTATGTTCAGAGAGATACAAATTCCAGGCTAGAACGGACTTGTAACATTTAGACTATTAGCGCAGTATTTTAATGGTCGTGATATTTTTGTTGTTGTGCTGTCTTGTTACTATTAAAACGTATTATTCTAATGAAACTTAATTTCTGTTGCCAAAAAGGACATTGATAATTTCACTTTTCGCTAAAATGGGTTTAAAATCTGGCGCTAAAATGGCTTGCACTTTTGCATTAAAATGTCTCAAATTTTTTTCACTGAAATTTTCTATTAATGTGCTAAAATGTCCTCTGTCCTAAAAAACAAAATTCTTTACAATAACAATAAAGTGATTGAAGTGAAACTAAAATTGATTCTGCAATTTCACCTAGGTGTGTTTTTGTGGGAGCACCTATTTCACCTAGGTGTGTTTTTGTGGGAGCACCTATTTCAAGTATGTAAACAAATTTTATATCTTTTTTTTCATTAATTTTAAAACTTGTTTTTAGTTCCATTTTCATAAAATTGTAACCAAAAAAGTATTAATTTATACTTTTCACAATCCCCTAAATTAATACGAGCCATAGTTTTGAGTCACATAATGTTGTGTTGAAACTTTATGATGATCTAAGCCATTGTGAACAAACAATTGTGTCTCTAGACAGAAAATTTACATCACAATACACCTTAATCATCTTTAATTGGTTAACATTTATTTAACATAGAACCAAAATAAAGGTGAATATTAAGTGAAAATGTTGAGTTCTACAAGTTGTCTCCCCTGAAAGTGTCCTATGCTAACACAGACTATACATTTGATGTGTTTAAAGTGGAAATACTTTTATATTCTTCATATGTTTTCTTTGACATAAAAACTCTGATAAATGGTAGTCTTCGTAGAAACCAAGCAATGCATTTTTCTACAGAAAAAACACGAAAACAACAATAATGAAACTTAACCCAACAATAAATAGATTTGACTAGAACTACAGCTAATGTCTTTAGATTGATTGTTGTTTGAAACATCCACTGTCTTGCCTTTAAAGAACACAGATGAAACTTTAATCTAATTGTTATTCATAAAAGAATTTCAGTCTGTCAAAGCTTAAAATCTTGGCTAAATCTTTTATTATGAAGACAAGTATTAACCCTGATAGTCCTGTATAAATTTCCTGTAAACAGATTACCCCCCATTGGATGAAAATTCTACAAATTGCTTTCCTTTGAATAATTTCACTCAAATTGTTGTTTAGCCTGTTAAAATTGACATAATATTTTCTAAATATTGTTATTACAATAATCTGTGTGCATGCTTCAAGATGCTGATATAGCAAAATAATTTGTCAATTATATGTTTTATTTGAAATTTTAATAACAAAAATTCTCAGAACATAAGGCTATTTAAACTGCAAAAAGTAATCAAAACTAAGAAATAACACAAAATTGGTTCTACAGCAGTTCTCCCTCTTTTACTCAGAAGGAAGATTCACCCCTTTAAAAGCTGCCACTAATTACTTCACAAGGTTATAGCAATATAATATAATATCAATCATAGAGACTACTATTATCCAACAAAATATCAAAATCACTGCTGCAATTGACAAGTTTGATTGAAAATATTAATGACTGGATATTTAAATGACAGCTAATGTCTTGAAATAAAAATAGCAATTTAAATTTTAAAATTTCCAGAAGGAATATGGATCTAAAAAAAGAAGAAGATGTGGTATGATTGCTAATGAGACAACACTTTATCAGATCATGGCTTATTTTTCAAGTCAATATTCTTAAATTTGTTAATTGTACATATTTAAAAGACAGATTTTAATGCCTCATACATAATGAAATTAAACACATGCAGATGGTTTCTGTACAGTACATGGCTGATTTGATTGATTAACTGTAAATATATACAGTAATTCCATCATGTGAAAATAACCATCAATCTTATGGAACAGAGGCATGTTTTTAACAAGCAAAAGGACAACATGCAGGTAAAAAGGGGTAAAAACACACCAAAATCAGAGGTGCCATAAGCAATGGCTTATACCAAAGACTTTCTTTTGCAGAACTTCCATAAGCTTTCATCATTTCAAATGCACATTTGGTTTCTTATCAAATACAACTAAAACATCAATACAGATTAGATGCAAGAGTAAAAAAATTAGATCTAAAAAGCAGGCTTATTTAAAAGCCAAAACAACTTCAAATATTCAAGCAAGAATGAAACCAATTTAATGAACAAAATAAAACAAAAGCCAATTATTTACAGTGAATTTGTAAATAAGCAAATGAACAGTAAATAGTAATTTCTTTTAGAATGACCTCATAATACATGATGATTGAAAGTTTTAAACAGGTATCAATAGTTTCTTTTAATCATACATTGTATACAATTTCATGGAATGTATTAATATGGAAAATAATCAAGGTTAGAGATACATTTTAATGTCAGCGTGTTTGTTAAACTATTTCTGTAAATATTGTCTCATTGTCTGAGTTGTTGACAGTGCCACTTAATCTTATCGCTGTGTCAATGCCATGCATCTCTGTTAGACTAAAGGAACGCTATAAGCAATGCCTGTGGAAAGCTTGTTGCATAGAATAACTTCTGGTCCTGCCAAAATTATTTTTTTATGGCAGAAAAGATTTTCCACCAACATTTCAGAGCCTACTAACATATTGTTTTTCTTACTAAACTTCTTCCTTGTCCTAATTAATCGGTTGCTTTATGTCTGATTTTTACAGTTTGTTCTTTGTTGTGCTATAATACCACTGTCCCAGATTAGGAGGAGAAAAGAGCGCTAATAAACATGTTTAACCTCGCTACATTCTTTGTGTGCCTGTCCCAAGTAAGGAGCTTGTAGTTCAGTGGTTGTTGTTGGTTCATGTCTGTCATATTTGTTTTTTGTAAATTGTTTTGTTATAAATGAGGCTGTTAGTTTATTCACAATTTTCATGCCAGAGCCTTTTCTAGCCAACAATACAGTATGGGTTCCTCTCGTTGTTGAAGGCCCTACCGTGACCTATAATTGCTTATATCCATTTATTTTAACTATGATGGATAGTTGTCTTATTGGCAATCATACCACATCTCCTTATATTTATATATGTGTTATGTTTTCCTCTGGATATTAAGCATGATATTTATTCAGTCCATCTCCCTTTAATATACAAACCCTGCCAAGAACACGCTCTCATATACAATGTATAAAAAACACCTGTACAGATATGTTCAACAAACACACTGACACATAAAACTGTATACTAACTACAAAGTATATATTGCATTAAAGGGTATAGTGGTAATATCATTTCAAAAATAGTTCTGAATGATTCTAAGTTCAACTCTTTTTCAATATATGAATGTAAAGTTTTCTCTTACTATTAATCTCTGTTTAAAAACTTGTTTATTTATTTTGTGATGCCATCATGTTATATATTTTGCCATTGTGTGATGACACCTCTGATACTCACTATGGCGGGGAGTAGCACCTTCTTCTCCGTCATCTTCATTCTCAGGGTCGATATCTTCTGCTTGTGTAATCCAATCTAAATACCCTCGCAGATCTTCCTCTAATTGTTGTTTTTCACGAAGTTTTTGAAAATCACCTCTGGCTTTTGCTTTTTCTCTTTCTTTGGAAAATTCTCTGATAAAATAATTTTTACATTACATCTTGGCAAACGAGTAGATAAATATTCTATATCAATTATAAAATTCCCACAAAGAATGGAAACTTAAGTTATATAGATCCTTCATGTGTTAATTACAAAATTTATAAACTCTTAAGACTTTTAGTCTTTTACATTGAACAATTATATTTCTTTCTCTCATTTGAGTAACTAAAACCCATTGAATTTTGGGCTTTAATCTTGCATTGATAACTTGAAAATACTAAGAACTATGAAACTTTAAATAGATAATTATGATGATGGCATACATACCCACTAAGAACACCTAAAACTAAGTTGAGTACAAAAAATGATCCAATAATAATTAAACTTATAAAATATGTCCATGGCCATTCATTGCCAACGGCATCATTTATCTGAAATAAAAAAAAAAAAAACATGTTAAAATTCTAATTCTAAGAAAAATATTCAGTTTTTCAAGTAAAAACATCAATATAATGTGTTTGACACATTCCGTGTTTCCATTCTCGTTTTTATTAAGAATGAAATAAAGAAGTGTGTTTACAAACCTTTTGTATCAGAGCATTGCATATAGTCCAAAAAGTCATGTCAGGAGTTAAGAGCAATTTTAATCATTAGCATCAACTTCTAATTAGAATTGTTTTTAAATGTCTAAATTTGTACGGTATACATTTGTATTTTTTGTCTATTTTTTAGAAGTTGAACCTTACTCATGGCAAGGTGCTTTCTACTTAATTGACCATGAGGTTCTCGCAGGGTACTCCAGCTTCCTCACCAAGAATAACTGGCAGCCATGATAGAGCAAAGAGTGCCCAAAGTGGTGTTAAACACCAACAATCAATCCTTATTGATCCTGATGTAGAATCTTAGTAACTTTGTGCAATTTTCTAAACTTAGGGGTTCTATGAAGTTCCTTTAGTGTTTCACTTTTGGGGGTCAAGTGATCAAGAGTGCACACGCTGAAATGTCTAGCCTGTCTTACTTATCATTGAATTTATGTTGAAAGTCTGTAACAATGAAGGTTTTACGACAAGTATCACATAAACTAAACATTATCAATGTTCTATGATAATGAGGTCATGGTCAGATGAACCAGGCCAGACAGACATGTACACCTTACATTCATTCCATACACCAAATATAGTTGACCTGCTGCTTATAGTATCTGATAAACTGACAAAATTACGAAAACTTATCATTAATAATGAACCAAGAAAATGAGGTCAAGGTCAGATAATACCTGTCAGACCGACATGTACACCTTACAATTGTCCCATACACCAAACATAGTTGACCTTTTGCTATTAATGTTTGGAAAACCAACAAATACACAAAAACCTAACACTGAAATGTGAACCATGAAAATGAGGTCAAGGTCAGATGATACCTCCCCGACAGACATGTACACCTTACAATCATTCCATACACCAAATATAGTTGACCTATTGCTTATAGTACTTGAAAAACAGACAAAAACACAAAAACTTAACATTGACCAATGAACCATGAAAATGAGGTCAAAGTCAGATGAAACCTGCCAGATTGACATGTACCCATTACAATCATTCCATACACCAAATATAGTTGACTTACTGCTTATAGTATTTGAGAAACAGACCTAATCACGTAACTTTAACCTTGATCACCGATCCATTAAATGAGGTTGAGGTCAGGTGAACTCTGTCTGAGGGACATGTAGACGTTGCAAGGAACCCATATACCAAATATAGTTATCCTAGTGAGAAATTCACATGACAAAAAACTCAATTTTTTTTTCAAGCAGTCACTGAACCATGAAAATGAGGTCAAGGACAATGGGCATATGATTGACGGAAACTTCGTAATATAAGGTATCTGCATACAAGATATGTAGCATCCAGGTCTTCTACCTTCTGAAATATAATCTTTATACAAATAGTTTACGCCACCGCCGGATAGTAATACCTATGTCTCGCATACTACGACTTTCGTCGCAGGCGAGACAAAAACTGTAATTTTTTTTCAAGCAGTCGCTGAACCATGAAAATGAGGTCAAGGACAATGGACATGACAGATTGAAACTTCGTAACATAAGCTATCTGCAGTGAACCTTTTAAAATAGGTTTTAACCTCCTAATTGGAGAAGCATAGGTGGGTTTGTACATGTTTCAATTCATTTGTGTTATTTTTTGTTTGTTATATTTAAGGAATATCTGTATTGAATTTTAATACTTGCTGATGTCTGTTGACGATTTATTGTCATAAATTAAGGATATTTGCGACTGTGAAATCTAAGATTGAGAGTGGCAAATATTAAAAACATTACAGTTTAATTTATTGAAAAAACATGCCTGAACACAATGAGCTTTTTAATAAAAGGAAAAGTAACCTGTATTGCACAGAACATTTTGGGATGTTAACCATGGATTTTACTCTCTCAAAATATATGTTGTCAGATCAAAATCTCTGTTATAAAAGAATGACAACAGTAGTATCCTTTGAAAGCAGTAATTTCCTTCTGAGGAAAGTTAAAGTACAACTTCTTATTTTTTTTCTCTATTCTATTCCTGGTGAGACTGCCCACCAATATTAACCCAAACTACTTAATCTGACCACAATCTCGTGTGTTATGATAATCTGGTAGGACTGGTAATATAAGGACATACTGCAGAAAACTTACATTTCATAAAACAAAGGACATACTGCTGCAAACTTACATTATATAAAACAAAGGACATACTGCTGCAAACTTACATTATATAAAACAAAGGACATACTGCTGCAAACTTACATTACTGTAAATTCAGAAATTATTGCGAGGGTTTTATTATTGCGAATAATGCGAGTGGGTGAGTATCGCAATAATAAGAACTCGCATTCTGATATATGATGCATATATCTGTATGCCACTTTTCCTGAACTCGCAATAATTAATCTCGCATTTATGTCCATTCTTCTCGCAATAATAAATGCAAGCAATAATTTCTGAATTTATAGTATATAAAACAAAGAACATACTGTTGCAAACTTACATTATATAAAACAAAGGACATACTGCTGCAAACTTACATTATATAAAACAAAGGACATACTGCTGCAAACTTACATTATATAAAACAAAGGACATACTGCTGCAAATTTACATGATATAAAACAAAGGACATACTGCTGCAAACTTACATTTCATAAAACAAAGGACATACTGCTGCAAACTAACATTATATAAAACAAAGAACATACTGCTGCAAACTTACATTATATAAAACAAAGGACATACTGCTGCAAACTTACATTATATAAAACAAAGGACATACTGTTGCAAACTTACATTATATAAAACAAAGGACATACTGCTGCAAACTTACATTATATAAAACAGTCGTCCAACCTTCCATAGTTATACACTGAAATACTGTCAACATAGCAAATCCAAAATTATCAAAGTTTGTAATTCCATTGTTAGGGCCTATCCACCCTTCTTTACATTCAAATGTGGAATTGTCACAACTAAATCCTTTCTCTTCTGAATTACATGGATGGGGTTCTTCCATCATTTCACCTAAAATTAAATATCCAGAAAATAGCCACATGAACAATATAAATGACAAATGCAAACAGGTAAACAAAATTTGTGATATATCTGTAAAAAACACTAGATTCTAACTTTCAAAAGAAGTCACTTCAAATCACAACCCTTAAAAAAGAAAACAACACCTGTTATATTTCCTTCTGGATATGTGTTCTGGTTTTAATGTGTTTTTAGATTGGTTTTAATGTGTTTTTAGATTGGTGACTCCTATGTTTCCTTCTGGATTTGTATTCTGGTTTTAATGTGTTTTTAGATTGGTGACTCCTATGTTTCCTTCTGGATGTGTGTTCTGGTTTTTATGTGTTTTTAGATTGGTGACTCCTATGTTCCATTCTGGATGTGTGTTCTGGTTTTAATGTGTTTTTAGATTGGTGACTCCTATGTTCCCTTCTGGATGTGTGTTCTGATTTTAATGTGTTTTAGATTGGTGACTCCTATGTTTCCTTCTGGATGTGTGTTCTGATTTTAATGTGTTTTTAGATTGGTGACTCCTATGTTTCCTTCTGGATGTGTGTTCTGATTTTAATGTTGTTTTAGATTGGTGACTCCTATGTTTCCTTCTGGATGTGTGTTCTGATTTTAATGTGTTTTTAGATTGGTGACTCATTGACATTTACCCCAAAAATTCTATTCATTCAAACTTAGGTGTTTTAGAAATTAAAATCAAGTGGTTTTTTTCAAAACAGTATCCATCTAACCTTTGACCTGATATAATACAGTTTAAGGCTTATTTTTTTACTGAAATTTGAACTTTTAATTCAAGATTTCCACTTATTTTAGTTTTAAAGTTAAAGTTATGTAAAATCAAAAATGAATAGTTTTTGATCCATGATGTCACTCAGATCTTGTAATAATTCCATTTGTTTAAGCAGAGCAGGGTTCTTAGCACATCTCACAGTACAAAAACAGAAAAGATGAATTAAAGATGTCATTTTGGTTCTTTCTGTTGTTCCGTAGCTTTCTCATTCATGTATATCCCATTAATTACTTTTAGAAAAACAACAGAATTTCTCATACTGATTGAGTACAGATTGATCTTCAGTTTAAACCTATTTATGGAACATTTAATTTTCTTCTTTTTTTTACAGTTTATTTGACCTACCTGAATCCCTTTTATAACAGGTCTTGTGCATTGTTCCTGAGAAGAGTTCTAACCCAATAATGGCATATATAATAATTACAAAGATCACCAAAAGGGCTATATGAAGTAAAGGCACCATAGCTCTCACAATTGAATTTAAAACTACTTGTAAACCTGAAAAACAAAATAAAAATCTGTCATAGTAGAATATTTATTGACACATATACACATATTCATAAATTTCAAACATCATCAAAATACTGAATAATCAAAATGAATGAACTGTCATATTTGTTTTTTTCGTAAATTGTTTTGTTATAAATTAGGCCGTTAGTTTTTCTCAATTGAATTGTTTCATATTTTTCATGTCGGGGCCTTTTATAGCTGACTATACGACATGGGTTTTTCTCATTGTTGAAGGCCTTATGGTTGCCTATAATTGCTTACATCCATTTCATTAGAACTTAGATGGATAGTTGTCTCATTGGCCACATCTCTTTATTTTTATATGGACCACAGTGAACACACATGTGAATTTTGTTATTACTAGAGAAAAATAATCTATGTCTTAATTTTTTACATTTTTTTTTATTACTAGACCTAGAAATTAACACACTTAAGAATAACATGAAAGTTAATATGATAATCCTACTTAAACTGGTCCATCATCCACAGCTTTTCATGTACAATCCCAAATATATAGGGGAAGTAGTTCATATAACAGGTAAATATGTTATGTCTGTTAAAATAACTTATTAAATTCAAATTGAGATCTAAGGTAAAGTGTTAAAACAGCTGATTAAATTCATATTGAGAAAGTAAAGTGTTAAAACACTTGCTTAAATTCAGATTGAGATCTAAGGTAAAGACAGCTGATCGATATATTCAAATGAAAAATATTGTTTATTACACCTGACAACTGTTTAATAAAAGTCACATTAAACTGACCATTTGCATCAAATTTGGATCAAAATGTGTTTAGTGAGGGTTGTTACATTCACACAAAGGCGGCTCAAGTCATCCTATTTTACTGATATTTAACAAATATTTCCAATTTTTTTAGATGTTGAAACCAAACGGCTTCAGTAATTTACCAGAAACAAGATGTTTAACCTGAGGTATTTCAATGTAGGCCTAACTATTGTTTGTACGACTTGATGAAATAACATTTTCTAACAGTTTTAAAATAAAGTAAAATGGATAACACATAGATTTTTTCATCCAGAACTTTGAGGGACAACTCTGTTAGGTTATACTCCAAGTAAACATACATTTCATAAGAATCATGAAGGTCATCAGTCAAAGTGTTATAACACATGATAGTTAAAAAATATTCAATCAATTCATCTTCATTAAAAAGCAATTGGAGAAAATTCCACTATTGTAGATGAATATAAAATGATGATCAATATGCAATTCACACCTGTATCACACCTGTAATTAGACATGATTGAAATCAGGTATGTTATTTATATACCAACACCACAATAAATCTTTATTCCAAAAAAGCTGGATTAATGGTATAAAAAGCACATGCTAAAACAAAATCTGAATATTCCAAAAGCATGCAATTTAATATAAATTTCTCTTGAATAATATGTGTAGTGAGAAAAGTTGTGTGGATCCTTATAATGTTACAATTTGTCACTTACTGTCAAGGAACTAGTATGTGGATTCCATTAGTGAAAACATGTAACTCAGCAATCATTTTACAAATTAAAAACACTTTTGTCAGGTCATAAAAAAAAAGGAAATTATATGAAACCAAAATGAAATAAAATTGCATTCTCCAATCAGCTGTTATGGTGGCCATCTTGGATGAATGAAGGGAGAGGCATTTTAAAAGAAGACTGCATATCGACAATTACAGTACCGATTTGCCAAGTCATTTTACAATATAAGTTCTGATTGGCCAAGTCATTTTACAATATAAGTTCTGATAGGCCAAGTCATTTTACAATTAAAGTTCTGATTGGCCAAGTAACATGAGTAGATTCAAGAGTGAAACATTACAAATGGATGTACAAATTGGTCTAAAAGGGTAGGCAACATAATGTACATGTTAAAGTGAAATGACTACCTATCTGTTGGAAATTGACTTACTGAAGTTTTAAGCTTTCACTCAAGACCAGAAAAAATATTCAGTTCAGAACTTTCCATTTAAACAAAACATCTTATACTTTCCTATTTTCTCATGTTTATTTGAACTAGTGTTTTGTAAGATGGTATTTGTTTAAGTTAGTTGGTTTTAGTTATAGTTTGCTTTTATAACCATGTAACTATCTACACATATTTTGAATTGTTGATTGGACATCATAACTTTGTTTTTCCTAATGCTAGAGCAGTTCCTTTCCTATACTTGAAAACCTGACAATATGAATCTGTTAATCATCTATATATGGGTGTCATATTCACTTTATTCTAACCTGACATACTTCTGTCAATAGCCACAATCTTAGAAGATAAAGTTCTATGTCCCCCATGGTCATATTAAAGTATTAATTTATTTGTCAGTCTTCGTCAAAACATGTCAAGTGATCAATACGAATTATGAACAACTGTATTCTGAAAGCCCAATGGGACCATATGAATATGATTACGTGTAGAGAATTTCTAAGTTAGTAAGACATATTTGTAACACTGGATGCACTCTTTTTTTTTGTTACATCAATTATAATTAGAGTATGCATGACAGTATAATTGAAATCATTCAAATTTTTATTTGCACAATTTTTGCCAGCAAGGACTATAGGAAATGTGTAAAGTTAGAAAAATTTGTAAGGGTTCCGTGGAACCCAGTGTCTCGCCTACTTTTGCTGTTAGTTACAGGCTCAACAAAAATGGGGAAATAATTATTAAAAATTTTCCTCTAGATACTATCTTTTGAATGTAAGAAGCTTCTGTTCAAGTTTGGTAAGAATCCAGGATGGTTTATAAATCTAATAAAAGTTTTAAAAACTTTAACTGCAGACTGTATGTAATGTTAAGTGGAAGAAAAACTAAGTCCATTTATAAGTAATATACGGAAAAACAGGAATTTCCTTCTAGATACTAGCTTTTGATCATAAACAAGCTTCTGTCCAAGTTTGGTACAAATCCAGGATAGTTTAAGAAAGTTATTAAAATTTTGAAAACTTTAACCACAGAGTGAATGTAATGTTAACTGGCATGACTGGCAGAAAAACTAAGTCCATTTATAAGTAAAATACGGATAAACAGGATTTTTTTTTAACAAAATTTACTTTTGAATACTATCTTATGATCATAAATAAGCTTCTGTCCAAGTATAGTACAAATCCAGGACAGTTTAAGAAAGTTATTAAAATTTGAAAAACTTAAACCACAGAGTGAATGTAATGTTAACTGGCAGAAAAACTAAGTCCATTTATAAGTAAAATACGGATAAACAGGATTTTTTTTTTTAACAAAATTTACTTCTGGATACTATCTTATGATCATAAACAAGCTTCTGTCCAAGTTTGGTAGAAATCCAGGATAGCTTAAAAAAGTTATTAAAATTTGAAAAACTTTAACCACAGAGTGAATATTTGTGGCCCCTGCCGCCGGAATGTAGGATTGCTATGTCTCACTTTTGCGACAACAGTCGCAGGCTCGACAAAAATGAGCCAAATGTGATATTCATAGTTCAAATAGTATTTGTTCACATCCTATAAACAAAAAATAAAGAAAGGCTCATTTTGAATACAATACACAGTCAATCATGTCCACTATTTTTTTAATGATTTATTTACATCAGTCCATGTAGTCAAATATTAATTAACAATATGAAGACTATAATTTCCAATACATAATACTATTCAATATTTTTTACCAAATCAAATGCTTATTTATTCTTGATAAGATATCCCATTTGTTATCTTTATTGGGTATATTTTTTGCCAAAAATACTATATATTTTCATAACATAAATGAGAAAATATAATTCAGACTTTGTGCTGTATTTTTAAACAATAAGAAAAATCAAAATATGTATTGCCTTGCTTAGACTTATCACATTACCTTGTTGAACATAATTTGGCACATAATTTGAAACTTTCAGATTATACTTATTTTAAAGTTGATGTGACAACTAAATAGTTAACTTCCTTAACCAATAAACTGCTTCGCTGAGCGCAGCTAGATACGCCCGCAGAGGTCCAACCCCGAACAGTTGGGGCAAAAATGGACACAATATTCAAGCTTGATTCAGGTCTGAATTTGGATTGTAATCAAATATTTGACATATTATAGGTTTCTGAATAAATGTAGTCAAAGAACTTGAAATTGGTTATATGAATTGAATTTATATTCAATTAAAGATTTCTTGCTGTTGTGCAATAGGCCTCAATACTTAGTAAATCTGTTGTCAGACTATAAACAAATAAAGTTCAATTAATTCTCAATGTCATATTAGAAATTTATAAAAATAAAAAGGGAGCTTACATCAATAGATATAAACAATTCACAAAAGTTTCCTGAGAATTGGTGACCATTTTTAAGTTATTGTCAGAAAACTGGAAAATCACCCCTTTTTTTAATGAATAAAACCCCATAACTCAGAAATGAAAAATGTAAAATTTATAAAATTCTAAAGGGAGCTTACATCAATACATACAAACAATTCACCAAAGTTTCATAAGAATTGCTGAAAGAATTTTTGAGTTTTTGTCTGAAAACTGGAAAATCCCCCCTTTTTTTATGAATAAAACCCTGTAACTCGGAAACTTAAAATCTAAAATTTATAAAAATCGAAAGGGAGCTAATGTCAATAGATATAAACAATTAACCACAATTTCTTGCAAGTTGGTGAAAGCATTCTTGGCTTATTGTTCGAAAACTGGAAAATCCCCCTTTTTTTAATGAATAAAACCCCATAACTCGGAAAGGTAAAATCTAAATTTTATAAAAAACGAGAGGGAGCTCACGTCAATAGATATAAACAATTCACCAAAGTTTTATGCAAATTGGTTAAAGCATTTTTGAGTTAATGTCAGACGTGTTGACGATGGACAGACGGACGGACAGACAGACGGACAACGGTATACCATAATAGGTCCCGTAAACGGGCGTATAAAAACTGTAATCAGAGAAAGTACTGATTTTCACACTATCACATTTCCATGTTTATTAAACAGTAAAATTGGGGTAAAAACCATAATTTTACATATATTTAA